AAGCTATCAAATCACTAATCGCATTGTCCCTGCGTGTAAGTGCATGTTTATAAGTTATTTATGATCAATAAGTGGGTTCATTTGTGGAAACTAACCTGCTTTAGAATATCCTTGTATGCGAGCTAATAAGATTTAGTAGATTTTGACCTTCTGATTGAATGTGATCCAGTCAATTAATCGTGCAACTTGAGAGATGGGAAAATGTGATTAGTGTTTTGATAGCAAGATTTAAGTACTTCAAGAGGTAGAGAGAGCACATGGCATCAGTAAGAGTTTAGTATATAATTTTTGGGTTTCCGAATTATGTAGATTATACTTGTTGTAAGCTTGATACTGTGTCTACCTTTCAACAGATGTCTCCTGTTGAAGGAGCTCCAGAGGAGTTTGATCAGACGATATTTCCAGTACTAGCGGACCGGACAGTGGGGCCAGTTGAGAGACTCGCCCTTAATCTGGTTAGAGACCAGCAAAGGTAGCATGATAGATTTCTTATTAGAAATTGCTTGATAGAAATTATTTAATAACGACCTAATCATTCTTACTCCGAATGTTAAATGTAAATAGTTATTGGAATGACTGTTATTATCGCTGGTTCTGTCTCTTTCATTTCATTTGTCTCTGGTATGTTGGTTCTTCGGTTCTTTATAGGCATTTTAATAGCATTTTGCTACCTTTGCAGGAGGAGGAGTTATACTGACACTGCCAACTTCACTTTGCGATGTGGTACCTGCCAAATTGGAGTTATTGGACAGAAGGTTTTAAGCTCTTCATCTTTTCCTTTTCCTAAAAATTTCACTTCTTAATTTTATAATAAATAAATTTCTTTATTGTCTAAAGTTGATGATAAGTTACTTATTTTGACATTGAGCAACGGGTTAGTTTGACGATTATGCAACTTTTTTACTTAAGTAAGAAAAAAGTGACATATGTAAAGCATAGCCAAACATACTCTCAATCCCAGCCTTGAAAATTTCAAGTTTTTACAATTCTTGTCGTTATATTCGTGTTTAACTTTGCAGGAAGCAGTGGAGCATGCACAAGCAACAGGTCATGTGAACTTCCAGGAATATAAATGATAAACTGAATAAACAGAGTACAGAATAAAACTAAACCAGAGTGAAATTTTATTTATCTGTTGCCATAAGCTTGCGTTTACTAATGTTCTTTTAGTTATGAAACTGTGTTGTGATTTGTGAAGAAGAAAACCTTCGAACTCAGTCGCCTTTTTTGGTTCCTTGTGTTTGTTGTAAAGGATACATACATAGATTTGAATGAAAACTTCTTTTGTGCAATGTTTTTGAAGTTATTATCGAGTCCTAGTCTTAAGTGCATCTTTCGTACAAGGTATTAGATCATACGGGGAAGTATATTTGACCGAATTTTAACTTAGATCCTTACCCAAAACACCTTATCTTTTCTCGTCTTCCCCTTTCAAATGAAATGATTTCCCCCAAAATTGGAAAGAATAAAGACATAATTTTATCTCAATCGAACTCACATTAGGACTTGTTGGGAGACATTTAGCATGTTAAATGTATTGAGGTTCAAATATTAATCATTACTCTTTTCAATACTTTTTATCGAACCCCCACTATTCAATACTACTTAACATCCACTTCTCGTCTAGTACTCGGTACATTACAAGCCATACGCAAACAAAAGGAATGGATGAATGCTCTTATCACACACAAGCAATTATCACGACAATGAAACATAACCTAGGTTGGTGCATAGACAAGTCTTTCCAGATAAAAGGATATGAACTTTATTATCAAAAGAGGATATGCAATTACATTTCAGTAGAAACCCCATGACATGATCAAAAGGGTTCTTTCAAAATCCGCGAAACGTTGAATTCTCAATCCTTAGAAACCGTGAATCTTAATCTGATCCTTCTTCACAATGTTGGCATTGATGAGGAACTGAGAAACTTTCTTACGCTGATCGCCTTGGAGTTGAATCACCTTACCGAGCTCTTTGTCCTGAACAACATTACCGTTGCAGCAGAACTCTTTTTTAAGGTCTTTAAGGATCTTGTCGTAGCTTAATTCCTTCCTCAGTCCCTGAACAGTCGTTAGGCTTTTCTTTCCATTCCTTTGTTGGATGCGAATATGCACGTACTCCTTGGCTCCAGGCGCGCCTGAGTCCTTGGCCTCAGAAAATGGATCGAAAGCAGTTGGAATCTGTGAGTCGATATCAACCATGTAGAACTTCGTAAGATCAAGATCCAAGTGTGTTCAACGACGAAAGAGCTGCGAATGTTACATACAAATGATTAATTTCTCCAACTCCACACCCCAACCCCAAATTAAGAATTTCACATTCAACATAATGCTGAAAAATTCAAGAAAACTGAAACACAGAGACAAAGAATGCAAGAAACATACAGAAATTCGCAAAATAAAAAAACCCAGAAACATATGATCATCATCGTATGATTCAAAAACAAAAATGCTTATAAAATTAGAACAAGAAAAACTAGAATGCGAGAGACCGTACCTCACACCCGATAGATAATAAATTCCCGGGTTGGGGGTGGTATGATTTTATAGACAGACGGGGGAAGGCGGTGGTTTGTCTTTTCATTTGGATCACACAAATAGACAGACCGCGATTAAGCTATATTCTAACCATGGTTAATTTTTAGGCTTCCCGTGGAAATGAACGGCTGAGATTCTTTTGATGGACCCGTCTGTGATGAAAAGAGGCGTAGATTCAACGCACAAAGACTGGCTTTTGACACGGACGGATAAATTTCGGGGTGGAGGTAGTCAGTGGGCCCCGCTATCTGAATATTTATCGGATTCGAATGTTCGTTGAAGTTGCCCAACATTTTGGATAAATTTAAAAAAATAAAATGCCATATCTCATTTTTTGTGGGGTGACGTGAGTAATAGATCTCCAATCTTCCCACGTCCACGAAAGCCTTTTGTTTTGCACAATTGAACAAATCACAATTCATACGTATCCTTCCTTGAAGTGGGGGAGACCGCGTTCTCTTCGACGACAAAGTGAGTCAACGTATAGTTAAAGGGGTGTGGAGCGTGCTAGAGACGGAGACATTAAGTGCGTGTTTGAGCCCCTTTAATTTTGAAAAATATATTATGTAATAGTAGATTGATAGAGAATGTGTAGTTAAAAATAAAGAAAAAGCTTTCGATTTGCGTGTAATATTATTTTAATGAAGAATGCATAGTTTGAAAATGAGTACGGTAGAAAAAAATAATGTGTTAGAATGTAAAATAATGAGTGACAAACAGGGGCTAAGTATAAAGCGGACGAATTCGGGAGGGTATGAAGATATTGAGAGCAAACTTATACTTTTGAGAGTCAAAAGTTGTATTACCTTAAAATGACACAATGTGTGAGCTTTTATAGTAGTATAGGAAAATGATAATCGTTGGATTAATTATTACTCCATTAGTCCTAGACTGACGAGCGTTTAATGCTTTGACAAACAACTACTTTAAAACCTAGTCCGACCTTTGAAATATATGCCGGAAATTTGACATTTAAAAGCTATATAGATGTCACATCAATCAATTGTAGGTGAATATTGTATGGAAAATCTCTTTGGAGGAAGTGATATGAAGATGCTTTCCATCAAATATGAGATTAATTGTCTCGGACTTCTTCATGATGTAGACGTAGCATCTCACCTCGATCTTGAAGGGTCGATCACTCAAGGAATCTGGAATGAAGTGATGCATTACCTCGACTATGGTTCAACATTGGTAAGGTGGATGGTGATGTGAAGTGTTGATATGATTGTCTTACTAATTGACTGTCACATGGGAGTGACTTGGAGCCTCGTTACAAGAAGCATAACATTAATCGTGCTTGGAAATATAAACTATTTTTTTAAATTCATCCTGCTTTATTTTCAAGCTTATTTCAAGGATGGTTTAAATTATTTGATTCTTTCATGTAATATCAATATTGCCCCCTCTATTCACATCTTAATCGAACTTAAATGGAAAGATGAAGCAGCGCGCCCATCCCTCGAAGACAGGATGGAGAAGTGCCCAACTTCATTTTTATCCATAAATTTTGTGAGACCCCCACATCATCTATCTTTACATTCTGTAAATTCACAACTTATAATCTACAAATTTTTTTTATCAAACATGGGCTAAGATGAAGTCAGATTTGTATAGAGGCCCCTTCAGTTCTTTTGAATTTCATTTTTGCAAGCGCACTCCCTAAGCAAGGTTCTTAATGTGTTAGCTACAATACTGCACGAGTCAATATGCACAGTGCTTAGCATCCACCCTTTACAACTAAGATTACTTGGGTATCTAATCTCATTCGCTCCGCTAGCTTTAATCCCTTAGCGTCAGTGTTAATCCAATGGAGTGCTTTTGCCGTTGAATTCATTTGTGGGTCTTGTACACACGACTAATACATGCATGGAGGTAAAAGGATTCATAGCACCAAAATGGCACAATATCACAAAGACAATAGAATCTTCTGCCTCATCAAACAGAATTGGAATAAAATGGTTTAGGTACTTTGATCATCAGGCAAACGTTTCAAATCCATCTCTACTTGGTGAATAGTCCATTGCATATTTTCCAATTTCTGCACAGAGATTTCGACATTGTTCGAGTCAAGTGTCAACCCTAACATATAAACGTTAACCATCAAACTGAATATAATTTTACCTTCACTATGTCATGATATTGCCTGGCAATGTTGTCAAAGTGAGGATCAACACCTTGATACTCACGAAGCCGTGTAACCTGGCAAAAAATCAAGACGTGTCAATTTACATGTCTAATTACCAAAATCTGTAATGATAATACAAAGAATCATTGAAGCGAGCCATATGAAGCTTCTCAAGTTCAGATAATCTACAACGTAAGGTTGCCAGGCGCAAGAAGAAGCTCCCTCATAATATAGTCGAGTTCCACAACTTTCCCATTATTACACCAACCAACTATATTAATCAGAATGAAGAATCAAAAGAGCAAATAGCTGAATTCTAAGATGTCGTTACCATTGATGTATCGGTTCGTAAACAGTATCTTAAAACAGTAAACAGAGATAAAGGTGCATACTTTAAGCAAACTAGTGAACACACAACAAAATTAAATAAGCATACCGCTTTATTATATGCAAGTGAAGCTTCCTCTGTAGATTCAACCAAATATTTCCTGGGACAAAGGTAAATTAGTTAATTATTTGTAACAGAAAAGCAATCTAAATGTGGATATAAGAGGTCATATTCTTTTACCTTATTTTGTGGAGTGCCGGAATGGTTTCTGGAGTATAGGTTTCAAGCAGGAGAATATGTTCCAGAACCCTTAAAGGAGAAATCCGAAGTTATTATAAATTATAGCAAGTGTTTTAATAAACCAAACGTTCACTGAGGAACAAACATAATCGAATTCCCAATATCAACTATAAGATATAAAAATGGAAAACAGAAACCGGCAGTGGGGAAGACAGACCCCAATTTAGCACTCATAGTTTCACATCTTTTGCACAGCCAAGTCTTTTGCAGTTCATCCTATTACAAAAATAAGCAGATGTCAAAGTAAGAAATTTTTAAAAAGGCAAAGAACAGCATGCAATTATCTGATACTGCTTCAATCAATTGTAAACTAATTTTTTAGTACAGCTACACGGAAACAATTCACTACGAGGGCTAAAGACAACCAGGGGTATGAGGCTTACATATTTATGTTGGTGTTGCAGTTTTATATCCTTGACAAGTTTGATAAGCACTCCAAGAATCTGCTCCAGAACCTTGGACAGACAAAGGTTAAAAGGTCACATACAATCACAAGTATAGATGTTAGCACAACATAATGGGAGCTTATTACATAATTGTATTGTGTATGAGAAGAATTAACTAGAGAAAAAGTAAAAGGATACTGCATCATCAAGAGATTCTATGGAATTCTTGCTTACATTGTAATACTCTGCAAATTTTCTATCAGAAGAATATAGATCCTCCCTCCATTCCGTTTCTTCTCTCTCAATTTCCTCAATAATCAATTTTACCCTGTTTATGGAACAAATTAAAACGGCAAAACTGGAGCTATAAAGTAGTTGAAAAGAATTTCCTCTGTACGAGATTCACAATAAAATTATTAGATATTAATGCGTAAGAAGATGATGGATGAACGGACGAATGTCAAGCTTAGTAGCTGTACTATAAATTAGGGAATGGTGATTAATATTAGGGCGTATTCAAGGTTTCCATAGAACCCATTTGGTTTCATGCCAGGGAGATCCAATATCTAAGTCAAAAACCTACTCTGAAAAGTGATGCAAAGGTATGGAAAAACAAGCAAGGTTTGCAAATGGTTCTTGCTGAATTAAAATAGCATGTGCCAGGGTTTCTAAGGCAATGCTATGGACATATGGTGAATGTCAAAGAAAACAGAAACTTCTGTCAAATATATCAATATCATTAGGGATCAAGCAAAAGTAGTAGTAGGTAACTTTCTATTACAATAGGCTTGTACTGCCCCCATCATAATTCCTTATTCTTTTGCTTAGGTCATAAACAAGCTTAACAAGATGTGGTTACGGGTGTGTAATTCCTTGATGACGTAGTTTCAGTTGATAAGAGTAGGAGAGCGCTAATTCGTAAATTATAGTTACAAAGGAGCACTTTAGAATTTAAGGATCTTAGATTAAGTAATTCAGAATACACCAAATTTCCTTTATGTCATAGTGGGAATCAGGATGATTGTTGATTCGACAAAAACATTGTTCTTCCAAAATGTGATTATTTTAGGTACTTATGTTCGATTATTAACACAGAATGAAGGACTGAATAGGATGTAATTAATAGTACAACTGGTCAGATGAATATGTTCAAAAGATTTTGTGTGATCAGAAGATAATAATCAAATTCTAAAAAATGGTCATTAGGCCAGCAGTACTCATACTATTGAGTATTGAATCATTAAAGAACAAAACGTCCACAAGATGAGCACAGAGAAGGGTTGCTCTAGAATTAATAAAATAAGTATAAGAATATACAACAATAACCAGATGCAAATGAAGTGAATGACAACATTGATGGTTGATGTATGCTTTATATGGACCTAAAAAAACTCCCAGTCACAGTGGGTATGTTAAAACTAACATGGCCGGGTGTATTTGCAGAAGATTTCATTTAGTTGGCTTTTCCAAAGAGGTAGCTCTTATTAAAAAAAGTGTAGAAGAATGAATCTTGGAACCATCGTCAGGTAAACTAGGAATGAACCTTAGTTTGTTGTTGATGTACTACAGTACGCCTAAATAATAGGATTAGAAAACCTTGATAACATGGAACCCTCCATTGACCTAAATAATAAGAAGCATATTTTTGTCCCAAGAGGAAAAACCAAATATCATTTCTTATCTTAAAAACTGAGGCATCAATTTCAAACTACAAGATTTATACATCTCTTTCTTTTAAAATAAGATTAGAAGAGAGAAATATTAAGCAAAAGTGTATTAAGTCATTTATAATTCGTGAAAAACCATAAGTGTGACTTGCACAACATGAAAACATTAGAGATTATTGGGATGGGAGGTCAGAGAAAAGAAAGAAAAAGTGACGGACCTTTCTGGGAGTCGAGAAGCCAAACTCTGATGACCAGTTGATGAATCTGATAAACCAAACGTAAAGTATTATAGTTTATCTATAACATATATTTAGATAATAGATGCCTATTCATTATGCTTAGATTAAATGGGTAAAAATCTGATTACAACCAATTTCTAATGCATGGATGTCTTTGCCCTAACCTATCCTGCACTTGAGCATATCTATAATGACCAAAAGAATAGACCATGGCATACAGCATGTGAATGACTACAGCATAAAATTGAATAATAAAACAGACAATTGATCAGATGACAGATTGTGTTCAAGGGATACAGACATAAATTAGGTGACCATGAAGTGTCCAGAAGGCGTTGGTGCATGCTGCTTGTCCACAAAATAAGGCAAGCCGACTAAATAACATGGCAACAACACATGATTAGAAATAGGTGAATCATTTAGACTGACCGATGTCATCTATAATAGCGTCTGCTAACTTATCACATCTAGCTTCTAACCGACCAGCAATTTCACGGGCAAGCAACACCTGGTATTTTGTTGTGTCCTACAAATATTGAAAGATAAAGTATCTTTAGTTGCTCCATCAATATTCAAACAATAAGAATAACTGAAAATTCTATGCATGCAAACATTTCCACTTCTCTTATACATTAACTATAAAATAAAAAGCATAACATTGTCTATGAATCTTCCATATGGAGACAATGAAAACCAGTCATAGCTGCATCAAGTATTTCAAAGATGTTTTAAATCATCACCATGAGGGACGTCCTACCATGGATAACAGTGGCTGTTTAAATTGTGTTTGCCATAAATAGGTCGGTGTTATTCCAAGGAACCTATTTGGGACGCCACCAACTTCAGGTTCTGCTGCATCAATTGTGCCAGAGAGAGCACTGTTTGTAGGAGCACCCATTCCGATAGTAGAAACATTTGTATAATTAGTTGAATTTGTACATGAGCTCATTGTGACACTGGTACTTGTGCTATCCAGTGAGCTTCTGGACATGTTACCCAATTTTTCAATTTCTTCCTCGTGAATATCACCATCTTTAGAAATGAGAGGAAGCCTTAATTTTTGAGCAGCTTCAGCAACAACCATCCGATGCTCAAGAGTCTCGTAGACCTGAAAATCATGTAGTTCTATTATCCATTTTCGTCAACTCAAAACAGTTCTATTATCCATTTTCGTCAACTCAAAACCCAATCTCTATACTTAAAGTTACTCGCTTTCCTCAAATTCCTCAAAATCAAATGAATCAGCATCAGTTGATAATTGACAGAATGTCTTAGATAGCTGCTGAATGCATTAATCAAGTGGAAAACAAATTTTACCAAGGGAATGCAGGATAAAATTCAAATTGTGAGAAGTGTAAATCAACAATAAGGACCTGCGGAGAGTTCTTCAAGCCAAGGTGTGGATAAAGACCTTGAACATCCCGAATGCCACCTAGATTAGCCACAGAAATAGCCTGCTGATACTCCTCCACCATTGCTATTGCCTCTATGTAGATTGCCTACATACTTGTATCAGCATTATCACCCAAGATACGTATGTTCATGTATAAAATATCAAAGCTTAAGAATTTAAAGACCACATAACACAACTTTAGAGCACGTTTGGGTAAGCTTAAAAGTAAGTAAAAAATATTAATTTTAAGTTTTTAGTTTACAAACATGGTTAGATAAGTTATTTTATTCTTACTTTTCCAGAAAAGAACTTATTAGCAATCAAAGAGAACTTGGATACTGAATGGATCAACAGGAAAGGTTGCACTTTTGGATTTATAGTTGCTAATATCATTTTATTAGCGATTCTTACTACAACTCTTGCTAATGGCTGTTATGGTCTTAGTTAGTTAGTTACATTTTCTTCTTTCAAAAGCTTTCTTTTGGGTCGCATACATACATAAATTTTTTTATCTTCAATCCTCGGAGGACGGAAAAATTCATGCAAGCCAATTCGATTCGCTCAAGAACAATCACTCTGGGAACATCTCTACTCGAACTGATTCTGTACGTTGAATATTTAATAAATAATTAAAAGAAATGCTTAAATCCAAACATAGTACAATGATAGAAGAATATAGACAAGAATAGCTGGTTCATTTAATAAAAGAGAAGAAAATACTTGTAAATTATAATACAAATTACATAATGTAATAGAAGGAAATAGAGTATATTCAAAAAAAATGAACTTGGATAAATCATATCATTATGAACCCTGATTCTCGTTCTGGACCTTTGTTCTTTCAAGGTTGAAGTACCTCTTATCCAAAAATTCATAATGAGTAAATTTAACCAATAAAAATGATTGATTTTAAACCTTACATATTTATTTCTTAGTAAACTTTTTAAGCTTAGCCAAACATAATATAAATTAAATTCTTTCATAAATCCTAATCAGTGGCGAATTAAATTTCGCAACGTTACCATGGCTTCCAAGTAACGCTGTCTCTCTTTACACATTTCTTCTCTCGCCTGCATTGTCAAATAATGTAGAATCTTCAATAAAATTCCAAGGAAAAAAAAATGAAAAATTTGAAAATGAAGTAATTGGAAAAATACGAGTTGGAGATCGTAGTAGGTGGATTTGGAAATTAGAGATCCATCGGGGGCTAAGCAGTGGCGCTCCAGCTGATCAATTACTTGACTCACGTCCGCCGGAAGATTTTGCGTTGCGAACATTTTCGCCATTGATTAAGCAAAAAATGCTTCCTTCTCAACAGTGTTGTTATCTTTTTCGCCGGCACAAAATTTCTAGTTGGAGGGAATCAAATAGACATGAAACGACAGCGTTTTAATAGACTCGTGTATAATATTTGGGCAGTTATGATTCAAATCGAATTGAAAGAAACCTTCAACATCATCCTCCCCACAAATGGTCCCTCAAGTTTGTGCAAAATATCAATTTGGTTCTTAAAAGTATTTTTTTGATCAATTAGTCATTAAAGTTAATTAACGTTTACACGGATGTAAAAGAAAGTAACGACAAATCCACTTTGTTATACAAGAGAGAGAGAGAGAGAGAAGAAAAAAAAATTTCATACTTGGGATATCCCCCTTCCGTGTCATTTGGATTTCATATATCAAGCACAAAATTCTTTCCCGCAAAAAAATTGTGTTTGCTAGAGTCGTGGTTAGCATTAGATTTAACGAAAGATAAATCAAGAAATCTTAACAACATTCACTCATTCAGGCTTGAGTTCAAGCAACGGTGAAGATGTGTAACCATGCCAACAATAAGGGCAACAAAATAAAAGTGTGTGACCAACAATCTTATACGGCGCATGTTTGACAAATTTTAAACTATAATTTAAAATGATCAAATACACTTTTTATCGCTAAATTTCATAGCGCACACAATTACGACCAACTTATTATTCAAAAATACTGTAAGACCCCCCACTTATCAGCACTTTAACGTACAATCAAACATCTTGTTTGGTAGAGATTTTTTGGGGGAAGAATTGATTTTGAATAATGATATGATAGGAAATGTGTGGTTAAAAAGAAGAAAAAATTATTGATGTGATGGAAAATATTATTTTATTGAAGAATGTGTGGTTGAAAATGAGAATTGATTTACTGTAGAAAATGAGAATTCCTACCAAACAGGCCACTCCGATACAACTGTGAATTACTTAAAACTCCATTGCAAGTTTGACAATGAATCCACCAAGCTAACTTGATAGACAAAAAATAGATAATATCTAGACTAAGGTCTAAATATGAAGTCTCAGTTAAATACGCTGACTAAACAATTTAGTTGATTTTACTTTCTTTTCTTTTTTTTATTGGACTTTTTTCTCCTCTTTATTTTAATGTTAATAAAAGACACGTAAATGAAAAATATAAGTGTATATTCATTGGACATCAATACCACGTCAACTAAAAAATCGTCTATCTAAATGCCGCATAGATTACAGTCCAACGAATGCACGGAGATGCTGTAATAGAACAATAATTACTTAAGAAATTCATGTTAGTATCAGTTGACATGAATATTCTGCCCAAATAGGCTCCATCAGGAAATACATTCCACCATAATTTTCAAACAGGAAGTTCGTGAAAACCGTGTTTGTGCACTCTCCACAGCCACGCAAAATTGCCAGTCTCGCAATGAAAGGAGATAAACCCCATTAAAAATACGATTTACAAGTCGTAGAAGATCAAAACGTACTACCCGAATGTGTTTGTAAGCACTGATATTTGTCATGTTGGTGGTTGCCATGTCCCTGGTTTGAAGGATTGCCCGGATCCAGATGGCTCTGAAGACCTAAAACCAATGGTAGAAAAAGTTCTTCAACATGGTGCCACACAATTTTATGAATACAGGTTCATGTTTTTTAAGCATATAAGCCATTTCAAATTACAATTTGGTCTCTTTAGCTGCAAAAGGTTAAAAAAACGACGAGGCTTTCTGTCTATAGTTAAGATTGAGAGCCACCTCGAAATGTACCACTATTTTTGGCAACCCTCACAGGAATGAAATTAAGCCTCCATTTCGATACAAATTTATAACTCATCGTTATAACTCGAAATGTACCACTATTTTTGGTCTCTTTACAATTTGGATGACTCATCGTTATCCACACATTTCGTGGGATCCACTACTATTCATTCTTACTATTCCCCTTTATAGACCATTTATAAATTTGCCAAATGGAGGGTAAATAAAGAACTTACTCTGGCTGTTTCTTGAGGGAATGTGGAATTTTTTTCTGTTTATCGGATTCTTTGAAGCCCGTGTCACTGAGTTCAAATTCAAATTTAATTTCATAATCAGAATTGGAATAATAAAATAACTAAGTTAACAAACATTTAAAGTATATGCCATTGTTCGTCTATTTAAGGTATCTATAGAGATCGTTTTATAACACGTATATTATGATAATAGATCAGGTAACCCTCAATTGCAATTTTTCCAAACTTGGTTGTGCTAGTTGGAGAAAACATACTAACCTTTTACCATCCGTTGGCATTGAATCAGGTGCTCCTTCAATGTTGTTACCTTCTGGAACAAATAAAGTAAGAATTCAATCAGTCGACACAAGAATGGAGAGAGAGAGATACTCAGAAGAGAAACAAAAATGAAAAAAATACTCGCTGATTCATGAAAACTGCAGTTCATTTATCTAATATTTAAATAGAAGAAAAGGCAAAAGAATTAGAGAATAAGTTATATAAAGGGTAAAAATAATTATTGCGGTCTTTTGGTGAAAAACACCTAGGACATGAATAGAAATCCAACTCAATGGGATCAAAACGAAGAAGGTAACACTATTTTGGACTTTGGGATGGATTATGATTTGGTTTTAGCAGATACATGTTTCAATAGCTAGATCATCAATACCTTTTTAGGAGTTAGAAAATTTTTAATCAAATAGATTTCATCTTTACTCTGAAGGTAACAACATAAAATAGACTGGTGGTGTGCATTATGATTATTAAGAAATAGAAAGAAATGCACAAGAGTTTCAAGTCATACACGAAATGCTGAAATTCAACTTGATTTATGAAAATAGAGTTTTGAAACAAGGAAATGCAACATAAAAGGGAATACATGCATGATGTAGAATGAGTTAATAATCTGCTCTTGTAACCCATCAAAAGGAGGTATAGAGTGCAAGGGTAGATACTGGTCTAATGAGGAAACGTGATGGTGCTACAAGAATGTCCGGATAATTATTATGCTGAAAAGAGAACGCAAATAAAAATGTGCAGATCTTTAAGAAATATAAGAGCATCTTCAAGAGACTCTTTAAATATAAGATACTCTCTATTTTAAAGAGTCGGCCCTTAAAATTATACTTCAAAAGATTCTTCAAATTAACATTTTAAAATAGAGACTGAGTTTGACTCTTCAAATTAAATGCATTCAAAGTATTTCAATTCTCAATTAAAAAATAATATAATAATTTGGATGGAAGCAAATGGAAATAAAAGATAAGGAAAAATAATAAATATTTTTTGAGAGTGGCAAAATTAAGTGTTAAAATGAAGAGAATGTTGCAGTATTAAAATTTTTTTACTCTTTAAATTTAAATATGCTCTCTAAATTGCAAAATATGCTCTTTGAAAATAGAGAGCTTCTTGGAGATGCTCTAAGTTGGTTAAACGGGAAAACCAAAAGGTTGATCTGAGAGATGCAGTATGATAGGTTGTACAGTTGTATCAAAATCAATGGTTCAATAAAGGGAAAATAGAAGTCGAGATATAAACCAAGTAAAATGTATTAAGAATGCAAACCCAAGACTTTTGTGTCATTAAAATGAAGATGTAGCAAGGAAACAATTAAAAGTCTATTCAAGGCGAAAGACTAATAATTGCTAGAATTCGAGTTTATCTAGATTATAGTAATTTGATTTTGACAATGCTATCTTTTATTTTCAAGCTTGTTTAGATAGGAAGTTTATTTAATTTCAAAGTCCTTCTCTATATAAAGGGCCTTGGAGCAATATTTACAGACACGTCTAAATTATATGAATAAAATTATTCCTCTTGCCCTCAATTCTTCTCCTTGATCCCCTTTCTTCTTATTGTTTTTTATCAATTTGTATGCTCTTGCATCAGAAATTTTGCAAAAGATGGATGAATTATTTCGTTGAAGTTTTGAAGGAAGACACTACATGGATCTTGGATATTCATCAAATCCGTTTGAATATAAAAATATTTACCATAGTAGAAGGATCTGACTTTAGAAGCAAGAGAATGGATGCTATAGAGAGGATGAAGATAAAACAACAATCCGCCTAGATAAAATCTTTATTGATGAACGGAGTTGTTGCGGTGGATATTTTATGGTTGCAAGGAATTATCAACATGAACTTAGTGTTAAAGGATACCTCGTATATGGAGGAAGAATATTATAGTACCTATTCATAAGAATAGAGAAGAAATCTAATATTGTAGATACTATAGAGGTATTAACTTAAGGTTGATGCTACGAAATTACAAAGTAGGTTTTTGAACAAAATAGAGAAGTGCTACAGTGATTTAATGTGATAAGAGGGGACCTACAAAGTTAAAAAAGAATATTCTAAACAGAGTTATTGAAGCTGCTATAAGTAGAATTGGGCATTGGGATGCCAAAGGAAAAATGTTTATAGGACAAACATAGCAGAAAAGATGATGTTGATAATATGAATGTGCAGTCAAAATAAAAGAGATAAAATAAACAAGAAGTTAAGATGATTAAAATATGAAAAATAAGAAATGTGAATATATACCAAGTATTGCCAACGAGTAAGACGACACCAATTGAGGAATATAAAGAGAATAGTGACTTTGATGGTTGAGGAATGCCTTGCATATACCACAAGAAACGTGGTCACAAAACTAGGGTGATCGAGTAAAACATTTTAAAGATGAGAACTAGATCAAAATTAGCAAGAGTTGATGTGATTGCCAAAAGTTAATCTTATTGGACCCATATCATATGGAGTGGCAACAATAAATTTTATATAATCAACACAAGTTTATTGGGAATAATGTTTGGCTTGTAGTAATACACCACAAGACAGTAGTATAAATTAAATTTCAATAAACAAGTTTTTATTTTCCAAATCTCAAATGTAGTTCTATATAAAGCAATCAGCAATTGGACCATTTTGATTTCAAAAGTAGAAAGTTATTCCAAATTTGAATTGAAGGAACTGTAAATTTCAGAGACGAGAGAGTATTTGGAGTAACAACTTCAGATACGAGAAGTAGGCAATCATCTTTTGTCATTAACTTAATGGTGCTACATACACATTTAATCAACATCTATATCAGTAGCCACCTATACATAATATAAATTTAAGTAAATCTCCAACAATGCAGCTACTATTGTACTCCTTCATTTGAGATAGAAAACTCTAAAAGGAAACTAAGAACCAGTTAAATAGATTAAGAGCATTAGTTACCTTCTGAATCAATAGGAAATTGCCTAATAAAACTTTTTAAGTCTGGCCCTGCAGCTTTACCTATTCATAGAAAATGACAAATCAAAATTATACAAACATCATATTAGAACAAGCATTTTCCCATTCTTTAACCTCTTTGAATAGAAATGTAAGAAATTGAAGGTCAGCTTACCCATGCTCACGGTTTTGCCTTTTTTGGCTTTTCTTTCCTCTTCTTCCTTCTTGAGCACTAGATTCATGAGCGAAATTAATTAGGGCTAAAAAAATAATTGTAAAATGATAAGGGTTCAAGCGATAATAGTAACATAAGACAATTTATTTAAAGGCCTAAGAGTGGATAATTTAAGTATGATATGCTTAAATGGTCAAATTTGTAGCAATTATAACCATCCTTGGTTCACTGAAAAGATATTCATCAATTATCCATCATTAAGCAACTTCAAGAAGTCGAACTCTTCATTAATTATTTTAGGAACGTCCAGAGAGAAAGTTGATGAAAACCAAAAGCATGATGTTAGTTACACTCACTAGCAACACTATGTCTAACACGTTCTCTTCTTGCCTCCAGCTCAGCCAGTTCCTGAAGAACGTGTCAACAAGTTAAGGACAGCAACAACATTAAATTATCAAAATATAACCTAGTTCACATGCTAATTCAGAAACAGCATGCCCACTTCTAAGATAGCATAGCTGGCTGTGAACATATTAGCAGAAAAGAGGACAATGCAGGAGCCAACAAGATTTAAAACTCTTTGCGCGTGCACGTGCGAGAGAGAGAGAGAGAGAGAAGATTGAAAATATGCCCTTGTTTGATTCCCATTATTTCTAAAATACGCCCTTGTTCGATTCCCATCATTTCTAAAATACATACTTCTCTCTCTTCTTTTCAACCACACATTCTTCAATGCAGGAGCCAACAAGATTTAAAACTCTTCGTGCGTGCACATGCAAGAGAGATAGAGAGAAGATTGAAAATATGCCCTTGTTTGATTCCCATTATTTCTAAAATACATCATTCTCTCTCTTCTTTTCAACCACACATTCTTCAATAAAATAATATTACACACATCCAAAAAAATTTCTTATTTTTTAATCACACATTCTTAATCAATCTACTATTCCAAGTGCATTCTCAATAGAAAATGGGGCTCAAACAAGCTCTATAAAAAATTAACATCAAAGAAGGTCCCACATCTTTTTCTTTTTTCCCTTTCATTAGGTACAATGGAGGCTCCCTCTTTTTGTTTGGTATCTAGAATTAAACTGACAATTTATTTCACAACCCTGAGGCCAAAGAGAGAGTTTGTTAACAGAATTGAGAAAAAGCATGTTAACACAAATGAATGCCAACCAACCTGAAAGTTGTATAAAAAACATTACCACTTACCCACGGTAGAGAGAGAGAGAGGTTGACATAATAAATCATTAGAAGAACACAGTACCATTTTCGATATCGTAAACTGAAATCATGTGTTACAATATTGCTAAAACTCTTAATAAACTTTGAAAGGCTCTCAAGTTGAGATAAAGAACAAATGTCAAATAGTTAAGATTGGCCTTTAGTTGCAAACCTTGGGAAGAAGTGCATTATATGGAAATGCAAAGAAAAAGAGTAACTTACCTCTGGTGTGGGAGCTCTTTTCCGCTGTCCATTCAGCCAACATATCCATTCAACTATAGCAATACTATCAAAATATCAATAACCCAGATTTTAAGAAAGAAAAAAGGCAAATATGCTGTCTACAAAATGTTGATTTGTAGCCACAGAATTTACCAAAATCCTACTTCAAAGGAGTTTTTGCAAAATGGTGGAAAGTGTTAAATGCACCGACTAATTTGGATTTGGTTTCAGAATTTTGCACGAACAATGGTGAAGTGAACCATAATGGAATAAATTGCAAACGCAGATGGTGCATAAACAAAAATGGGAGGTGAAGTAGCTATCTGGGATACTAGACACTACACTACTTCTGAATAGAACGGTCAGGTGAGCATGTGAAATGAAAGAAAATTGAGAAAATATCCAGGCATACCTGGAACACTCGTGGGATCCTGCTCTCCTTTAAATACGACCCACCTTTTCTCCTTCACTGATACATAAACACAGCCATCATTGCAAGAAAGTGTGTCTTAATACACATTGTTTAAGTGTATGTTACAAATATACCTAAAAGTTTTTGCAGGAAGTATTTATTCATTGTTGAACTCGATATTATTTGTTGAATTGTCAAAAATCACAATTTTCCTACCCTGCTAAACCTAAATGGTAGCGAATTAAAAGATAAATAAGAGAAAAATTAAAGTTTTTTTAAAAAAACAATAAATAGCAACAGCATTTCTTCCACCTCAAGTGATTGCAGCACTCCTTCAATACGATCAATTTTTTATAACAAATTACAGTAAACCATAGGGGGGAATGCATTCCCATTATACAAAAATCATAGCTATGAATAAAATTAAGAATTACATTCCAAAACCAAAAAAAAAAAAATAAAATAAAAAATAACAATAAAAAAAAAAAAAAAAAAAAAAAAAAAAAAGGAGGAGGAGGAGGAGACGCACTTACTGATACCATCGAATTCTTCAGTTCTAGCGAAATAACGATTGCCGCTTTTGTCCATTCCCACTGATGTTCTGCTACTGAAAAGCCCTGCAACCCTTGCCCACAGCCGAGACATCGCCCAATTACAAATGATCAAGATTGGGGATTACGGATTTGATCTGTCGAGGAGATGCTGGATTGAGTTGAATTCGAATTCAGCAGAAAGGATTGGTGTATCAGTATGTAATCGATGTTGGTTCCATCGATGTAAGAGAAGCCCTCTTTCAATTTTATTTTATTTTTTGTTTAACAGACTTCTGTTTTTCTCAAGTTTAACAATCAAATTATTTTTATTGAAAGAAATAGTCAGTTTCCACTTTTCACTATTTTTTCTTTTGTAAAATACGTATTTGTGTCGCGATTACATTGTTGGATTGGTAGGAGCAAATAACATCTTAAAGAAAATGCAAATATGTGACTCTAAGGTTCTTCATTGTTCGTGATTCTTCAATATTCAACTTCTTCTACTGCTCCATTTTTGTGGGTTTTGAAGACTTGTGCGATACTATTTGGAGATGTACCACCAAGAGTGGATGCATACAATGATTGCCGTTATGTTGGTAATATTTCTTTTAGAAAAATGAAATTGCATTTGTTATGTCTCATATGATGATGCTCCAAATCATAGTCACATGGCATCTAGCAGCAAATCAAGCAGGCCCACAATTCACGTCACCATCATACTTGCTCGAGGTGAGGCCTTAGCTTGTCTTCGACACCCATTTCTGGAAAAAATGAATTATGGAATAGTGATTGATGAAAGAAAGTGTGGTTGAAAAGTAATGAAAAGTTTTAGATGCTTGTAATATTATTTTATTTGGAGAATGTGTAGTTAAAATGAAGAAAGAGAAAAAAAAAACGAGAATGAGAGTGGGTGTCAAACGAGGCCTTAGTAAGGTATTCGAGGTGATGCATCACTTTCATTGAGGTACCACGAAAAGGTCGACCCTCCGTAATCAAGCGAGGTGCTACGCATGCAGTAGGGATGGAATTCTAGGCAATTAGCCTTCTTGATTGATAAAAACATCTCCCACCTCACTTCTTTAAATAAATCTTTTGTACAAAATCTTTCTACGATTGATTAATATGACATCTCATAGCAGACGCCTGAATGTCAAATCATCAATTTATGTTAGAGAGGTCAAACCTAAATTCTAGGGTGATCATTTTTCAGAAAATATTAAGGGTGCGTTTGATTGCTAATATTTTCTATGAAAAAATTATTTTTTCCACCTAATTTCATACTTTTGTAGTATTTGATTGACAATTTTTTCCATGAAAAATATTTTCTTTGAGGAGTGATGGATTTTATTTTCTAGTTAATTCACCATTTCTTTCATCTGCTCACCAATAAAAATGAACAAGTATAATATTTTCTAGACTAAAAACTAAATTGATTAAACACATTTAATTAATAACCATATTTTCCTTGAAAACATGGAAAATATTTTCTTTGAGGAGTGATGGATTTTATTTTCTAAGTAATTCACTATCTCTTTCTCTCCTTCATCTGCTCACCAATAAAAGTGAACAAGTATAATATTTTTTAGATTGAAAACTAAACCAATTAAACACATTTAATTGATAATTTTCATACAAATAAGTTCTTGACAATTGATTTGCCAGAATTTATTATCTCTCTATGCAAATTTCATGATCACAACCAAATGCACCCTAAATGGAAATCGGTATATGATTGATAATTAATGCCTAGGAGGAGACACTTCAATCATTAAGACGAGATCACGTTCCTTTCCATCCAAAGATCGGTACTCTACATCTTCTACTATAAAAGTTCACATTTAGTGCTATTTAAAGGTAATGCAATTTTATAACTCAATTATAGCATTACTCTCTCGTTTTACATATTGAAACATTACCCCTTGATACCCAAACACTTAAGCGGCTCACGTCTAAAGCACGTTCCACATCCAATACATTTTTGGGAAGATTACATATTCAAGAGTATAAATTTAGTCTATTTCAAAAATAAGAACACAAGTTTAAAGTTACCAAAATCAGATTTTTTTTAAATTTTTATTTATGAAATAATAAATTATTAAATTAATTTATTATTAAATATTTAATTATAATATAATATAATTAACCCATCCCACCTTCACCACCCCTACCGCTCCGGTCACCGCTCTACTCNCAAGTCACAGCCCAGGTCACAAGTCACAACGCATGAATGTTTGTTTATAATGATTGATAACACGATAAGGCTCTTGTCTCACATTTTTATTAATTTTCACGGATTATTTTCAAATGGTCACAGCACAGGTCACAGAATATATTGCACATGGCTCACGATTTTGTTCATAATCTCATGTTATTTTCAAATGGTCACAGTACAAGTCACGATTTTGTTTATAGTCCCATGTTATTTTTAAACGCTCTGATTTCTGTTGATAGTCACAGCATAGGTCACAACTCATGGCTCAAGTCACAGCATATGTCACAACATATGGTTCATGTCACATCATTGGTCACATAGACTATACAGCACCAGCACCACCGTCTCACATGCCCTAATCCTACTCCGCCGTTGCCACCACAGCCGGCAACTTACGACAACCACCATCACTAACTTCGCCAACACAGCCTCACCACTTCACAATCACCGTGACAGTAGTAACCACCGTAGCTTATACGAGTCAGGACTGCTCCCCCGAATCGAATAGGTCCCCTGCGACTGGGTCACCACCAGTCCACCACCAACAAAAAAAACCCCCCAAAACTACAAAATTTGATTGACCTATTCAACACCAAATCAAACGCCGGCACCTCCAGTGCCACCATCACCATCGATACCTCAGTACGACTGCCTGCAGTATGACAACCACAACCCAAAACCACTAAAATATGGAAAAACAATTAACTTACCACAACCCCACACCCCCAAAAAAAATATGAAATTAACAATCAAGAAGGAGGAAATGAGAAAATCAAGATTATGGAGCANTTTTTGTTAATAGTCACGGATTATTTTCAAATGGTCACAGCACAGGTCACAGAATATATTGCACATGGCTCACGATTTTGTTCATAATCTCATGTTATTTTCAAATGGTCACAGTACAGATCACGATTTTGTTTATAGTCCCATGTTATTTTTAAACGCTCAGATTTTTGTTGATAGTCACAGCATAGGTCACAACTCATGGCTCAAGTCACAGCATAGGTCACAACACATGGTTCAGGTCACATCATTGGTCACATAGACTATACAGCACCAGCACCACCGTCTCACATGCCCTAATCCTACTCCGCCGTTGCCACCATAGCCGGCAACTTACGACAACCACCATCACTAACTTCGCCAACACAGCCTCACCACTTCACAATCACCGTGACGGTAGCAACCACCGTAGCTTATACGAGTCAGGACTGCTCCCCCGAATCGAATAGGTCCCCTGCGACTGGGTTGCCACCACCAACAAAAAAAACCCCCAAAAACTACAAAATTTGATTGACCTATTCAACGCCAAATCAAACGCCGGCACCTCCAGTGCCACCATCACCATCGATACCTCAGTACGACTGCCTGCAGTATGACAACCACAACCCAAAACCACCAAAATATGGAAAAAACAATTAACTTACCACAACNACTGCCTGCAGTATGACAACCACAACCCAAAACCACCAAAATATGGAAAAACAATTAACTTACCACAACACCACACGCACAAAAAAAATCTCAGAACCCTTAATCACAGTACTCACCTCCGCCAATGCCATCTTCACCTTAACTATCAACACGATACTAAACAGATCGAGAGAAATAGAGGAGATGGGGAATTAATAAACAGATCCCACGCACCTCCGACAATGCGGCGACTTGCAACATCAATGATGTCGGGATCTAGGTGAAATCTGTGGGGAAATGAAGGACCGTAGGAGACCACGCAGCGTTGTCAGAAGGCGATGGTGCCAGCGTCGTCAAATGCTGAAAGTCGAGTAATTAGAGATGGGGTGGCGATGAGAGAAAGGAGTTACAGCGGTGAGGAGGAGGCGACGGCGCAGAGGGGGGAGACGCCCTTCCACGTCGTCGAGAGAGAAAGAGAGAGGTGGTGCGAGAGAAAGGGTCGAGAGGTGAGAGGCGAGATTTAGAGAGAGAAAGGAGGAGGTGAGAATTAGAGATTAATTGCAGCATATTTCTTTTATAAAGATTTTAATTAAAATAAAATATCTGATTTTGAAAATATTAAACTTCCAATCTGATTTTAGAAGTTTAAAAACTTAAAGTATGGTTTCATGTAATTATCACTACATTTTTTCTTGAAATGGGCTGGGCCTCCAGAGAATGTTTACATAACCCGGTCTAGATAGATAGATCGTAGAGGAAAAACTCCCTAGACAGTACAGTCATTGCTTCACTAAATAATTCTCTTCTTATTGGATCAAGAACAAAACCTAAATTTGCCCCTTTTTCTGTCGAGTTCAAGCTTTCAACTTGCAGTATCAAATCGCAGCTTTCATCGTACGCCATGGCCCAAAAGACCTTCAAGTCGGAACATCCCCTCGGTATACGCGCTCTACCCACACCTTTACACGAATTAACTTTTATTCTTTGATCATCTGTGAGTTGACTATAAGTAATTTCCGTAATTCATTTACTTTGCTTTGATTGATCGTGTACCATAGTGAAAATTTTCCTTCAAAGATATTGGATTGCCCATTTCTTTGGATGTTTCTGGGGGCACAAGTTAATGAATACTTTTTGATATTTTTGTGCTGCGTGTAAAATTCACATGGAACTAGGCTTCATGGGGTTGAAATTATGCTTACGTATGTAACGATGAAGGAGAATAAATACTATCTTTGACAGAAAGTAAACAATTTATTTGATTAAGTTTTTCCATTATAAATTTGATAAATAATGCTCCTTAGTTACACGAAGTTTTACCGATTGATGTGGGTGTAAATAAAAAAAAAAAAAAGTGGGGAAGTTTTTTTTTTTTTTTGGTTGACGAGATTTTGATCAGATCATGTCTCACCCGGTCTATAAACCACTCCGTAAGTGGGGATATACACGTAACACAACCGAAATTTGATTACAGCCGAAAGTCTGCTGGAGGAGGAAAATACTAATAATTCAACAATAAAGCAAATTACCAAAACTGCCTACACCAATTGAATCTTATTCCTTATTATTAGCTATTAAACTCATGGATTATTCGCATTTTAATCACACAACGCAAAAGGAAATCAGTTCTTTTTTGCAATTTGTTATATTGCATTAGGGAAATATTATGTGCATGAACAATATGGTGTAATCTGTGGATAATTTGCTCTCCTGTGTCCACTCAAAGTGTTCTGTGGTCGTCTTGGGTAAAGGCATTGTGCAATGGCGTGAAATATAATTCTTTCCAAATAGAAATCTGTTGTGTTGAACATGAAAATAATGATTTTTGGAACTCGGCATACATCAAATTGTTGTTGTCTTTCATCTTTGAAAGTATTCTTTCCAGTATTCACGATGAAGTTCTTCTCTGCATCTCTATTTGTTATGGGGCTTTCCCATTATTTGTTTTATCCGTGTATTCAATCTGATTCAAATTGCGTAGAAAGGCGTCAGGCAGAAGCTGCTCGGATTAGGGAGAAGTACCCTGATAGAATTCCGGTAATAAAGAAGTCTATCAATATGCATGGTTGTTTGTTTTGGATCCTTCATATTTTAACTCTTAGTTCCAATTATTCTTTCACCATAACTACTACTTTCCAAAATGTAGGTTATTGTTGAGAAGGCTGAACGAAGTGACATACCTGACATTGACAAGAAAAAGTCAGTGACCTCTATTTTTATTTCAATGTTTGAACCTCTATGATGTTTAAATGGACTTCAAATCATTGAGTGTCTATTGGTTTTTGAGAGAATTTTGCTATTTTCCCCTTTTGAATCAATGAAGTTTTAAGTGCATGGGTGCCACACACAGCCTATAAAATTTCTCCCTTGTGATTTTTGAATTTTTAGATTTTTCGAAAAAACAAAATCTTAGAACAATGGCAAGCAACGGGAAGCAGTTGCAGCCAAATTTTAAAATTTATGGATTATGATATCTATAAATGCAGAACACCTAAGTTTGGTAGCACACTCGGACTATATAAATAACACCAAAATACACTGACATATTGATTTTATTTGTTTATGGTTGAGGGTGTTAGAGGAGGTTGGGTTGTTAAGAAAAGAACATTTACTTTCCCTTTCACATCCATCGCAATCTGTTTCCGGTTCTTCTTTACCTAATTAACCCGTTAGTTCTATATTATGTATAATCACAAAAAAAATTGCAGATATCTAGTTCCCGCTGATCTGACCGTCGGGCAATTTGTGTATGTTGTGCGAAAGAGGATTAAGCTTAGTGCTGAGAAAGCTATATTTATCTTTGTCAAGAACATTCTCCCCCCAACCGGTGAGGAGCAATTTCGATAATTTCAACATTACTTATTTTTGTAGGAAATCTTTGTTCTGAAATTTTCTTTTTCCACTGTGACTGCAGCTGCTATGATGTCTGCGATTTATGACGAAAACAAAGATGAGGATGGTTTCCTGTATATGACTTACAGTGGTGAGAACACTTTTGGATCGTCCTGAAATTGACGCCAAAGCTGAAATATGTATATATAGGTCAAGAAAAGTCTTGTAAATATTCTTAAATCATCTACTGTATGGTGTTATCCTTTGCCAAAGATTGCTCGTTCTAGTAAATGTCAACTTTATTTAGTTTGCTCACTTCTTGTCATACTAATTCCGTGTTCATTTCTACAGTTTATTTGTTCAATCCATGTGTTTGGTTTTTCTGGGTGTCGTATTTATCCGATAAATCTGCAAAAAAGTCGAAATTTCGTTTTGAAACCTAGGCAATGTTACATAAATCTTTTTCGTCGCCCGGTTGGATTCATTGCTAGATTCTTCTGTGTATGTTACATCTGTTGAATTTTGTGTTATGTATATATTTGATCTCTTCCTTTGACATGAAAAACCTTTCTGAGAAATGGTAGTAAGGAGACCATAATTCCATCAATTATAACCAAAAATTGCAATAACATTAATTAAGAACCTTCTCAAAAAGAATCCTCGAAAGTTCATTTATAGAACAAAGCTGAAGCTTCTATTCGTGTAAATTTATGTAATTTTCGCTGTATGTTGACGACTGTTGCTCATTTATTACTATAAGTCCATGTTTGGGGGAGATTAAAATCAGTTTTTTAGTAAATTTTGATAAAATTTGATATAGGCCCTGTCTGGGCATAATTCTGGCCATGAAAAATTGATTTTTCAACCGTTTTCTTCTGACACATTAGACACAATTCAGCAGCTACTTTTCTCATTTTGTGACCGTTGCTTCTCTCAACGGTTAGAAAATCAATTTTCCTGTCGTTTACAATTGGAACCAGACAAGACAATAATGTGTGGTTAAAAAGTTGACTTTGATTAGAGATTTGAATTGGATTTTAATTCAAACCAAACATGGGCTAAATTTCGTGGGACTCCATAACATTTTTCCTGAAAAATTACCAATAATTTTACCTGAACATTCATAAAATTCATTTTCGTTTAAGGTTTAACTTACATATTTTAAAAGTAGAAAATGAATTTAACTCAACTTCATAGTTAGCAAAACATGCTAGTGCGCCTGACAGTAGGAAAAATTATTTGCGGTGAACGTGGATCGAACACGTGACCTTCAGATCTTCAGTCTGACGCTCTCCCAACTGAGCTATCCCCGCTTTGTTAACCTTTTTATAAACAAACATATAAATTATCTTATCAGGAAATTAACTAAATTAATCGTCCCATCAATAAAGGAAAAGAGACGTAACTTATCGAAATGAACCACCTTTTTTTATATTTATCGACATTTAGTGAAACCCAACGAGCAAAAAGAAGTAAAGCCAAATATACTCTGGTTTTTTCATTATATTACTAATCACCTATAGGCTATAAACCTTTTTGATAGATGTATAAAAACTGCAAATTTTCAGCAAGAAAAATGGCCGCGACCTGATTACAAGTACGGTTTGCTTCTTTAGCCCTTGGTACTTTCTCTAACTGCTGTGATGAAATATGTTGTTAATATCCGAACTTGTAACTCATTTGAGAATATGCCCTACTCGAACTAGATGAGAACGAGAATGAATATTATAATAAACGAGATTTTAACTTATTGTTACTGTTAGGACCAAATGTGCCGGTATAGTTCTCTTCATAGAAGGTTTGTTGGGAAATATGTAACAAAATCTGAAAAAATTAATGAACTCTAAGGTACGAAAATCGTTACCTTTTAAGAGATGTTTCTCCCCTATCCAACAAAGTCACAATTGGGGCATGATAGAAAATCTCTCAGGATACAATGGAGGCGTTTGATTCAAACTGTGACTATTTGATCAAACCAAGAAAACACTCTATAAGGAAATTGATGATGCCAAGAGAAAAGAGAGAAGTATAGAAAATAACGAATTTTTTAATGTGTTTTGCAAATGAGAATTCGCCCAAAATATATAGAAATTGAGGCAACTATTTAAATAGGTGTGTCCTTTGAAATGAGTGAACGCATATGTTGGAAGAAACATATCTATTCAAAAACTTCTAAAAATAAAATTTTCTTTTTGGGGCGTTGCCCCCGAGCCCCCACGGGAGGTGCTACCCCCTCGACCTGACTGGACAGGTCTATCCCCGTTGCGTAGTAGCAAACACAAGTCGGAGCGGCAAAACACTCGCAAAATAAAAGATGAACATGCAAAATGGTGAAAAAATATCTAACAAGGTTTTCCTTAAAATGTTTACGTATAAGTAAATAGGTAAGTTTTAAATAGAATCTAGCCCCTCGGATTGGTTTGAAATATCGAAAAACTTCATTCGACTTCTCTTCGGCAAAAATGGTGAGGAAGGTTGGAAAAGAAAGCAGCTCGACTAGTTTGTGTACACATTGTTGGGTGGGGGGTACAAAACGAAGACAAGGTGACGTTCGAGAAATTATTAAACAAATTAATCCGGTAAGCTGAAACCCACTTTTAGTCCTTGAGAAGAGGAGGCTCTTTAGCTTTTTNCCCCCTATTGTGAGTGTTCGATCAAAGTGTTTGTCAACCATTTTTTGTAAGTGTAGCATTGCTCCTGTCCAATAAACTAAAAACTCATTCTTAAAAAAAATTACCTCTTTATTCCAGTCAGTTCGACACGTCACCCAAAGCAAAATGATGATTTGAATCATTGCTCCTCCGATCATACCTGACCATATTCCCTGTACAAGTATAAAGCATCTATTAAATTATCAAACACATTTGTTTACGTTGGTTGGGCAAAATATCATAGAGTAATGCTATTCATCCCCACTGGGGTTACAAATACATTTTATGTGTTGTTAATGTAGCATTAAATGATAGGTGAAATTAAATAAGTTATTTAATTTCACTTTTTATTTAACCTATCATTTAAAGTCACGTAAACTGTGTTTGTAACCTCACTGAGAATGAATAACGTTACTCAATATCATATCATGTATTCAAATCATCTTCTTAATTTAGTCTAAATCAAACATAATTAATATCAAATCTCGTACCTTAACACTGAGGTTGAATTTGAATCCCAAAAGACAACCAAGGGGAACTCCCACAATGTAGTAACACCCTACATTTATGTACGCAACAAATGCTTGCCATCCACAACCAACGGCCACCCCTTCAATATCCACATAAACAACCAATAACGTCGTGTTTAGTACATTAGATTGAACGATCGAATAGAGTCATCAACACATCTTTTTTATATATGTTTTTTTTATTCATGTTCAAATCTACCCGATAAAAGATGCTATAAAGATTTATAATTTAATAAATATTGACCATCGATAAGGATGGATGGAGTAAGTATTTTTTGAGAAAAGATTGTTACCGGACAAGACGGGTTGGATACCATTAAGAACGATAGTAACCGATAAGAATGGACAAAGTTCTGATACTGCATGAGCCACTGTTTCGCCATCGGTGAATACATGACTAATTCTATGACGTTGCCATAATACGGTTGCAGCATCCACCAAAGCAAGGATAAATGAAACAAAAATCACCATGAAAACGGAAAAAGCTGCTGACTTAGGATTTCCTGCTCCGAGCTCATTGCTCACTCGAACACTGTTAATTTCAAATTCATTTAAAATATTGTACAATAATATTGAAAGTGACTATATAATACAATTATTAAAAATTAACTGACCTAGCAGCAGCATTGAACCCTATTGCAACTGTGTATAACATGTTATTTATCGACAAGCTGCACCCAAGTCAAAATCAGAAAAAGTTCAATTCAACATATGTAATAATGCCACTTTTGTTAAAGATTACTTCATACATGAAACCAGGGGCGGACCCACGAAGGAAGTTCAGTTGGGACGAAACCAAAAAACTTTGAAAAAAATCTGAAAACCTAAAAAAATTCTGGACAAAAAAACTAAAAATATCTAAAAATCTGAAGAAAAATCGGAAAATTTGAAAATTGAGTGGGGGCGATGGCCCCCATTGGTCCTCAAGTAGGTCCGCCCCTGCATGCAACGATGATTTAGTTTAAATGGTAGAGTCGAGTCCCGAAAGTCCTTTAATATATGCATTCAAAACGTACAACAAAATTTATCAGACGATATAGAAGGAAAATAAATTTACGTACCATACTGAAAGTGCATCCAAGGCAAGTTCAGGGTTCCTAAAAAGTCCTGCAATCAAGACTAGTACCTGAAGGTACCACGTTTGCAAGCACAGCATCACTGCTGAACCAACTGATAATTTCACAAATTCCCAAAGCCCATTAAAAGCCTCCCATTTCAATCCATTCCAAGTGTGCTTACATTTTGGGCTCAATAAAATATAAAGAAACTGGGCCGTGACAAGGATCCACCAAGAAAAGCTCCAAACCAATGATAGCCCAATCAATCCAAAACCAATCTTGTACACTGCAACCCATGATAAGAGTACATGCACCCCAGCAGTGGCCAATGAAATATAAGCACCGGGGAGTACTAAACTCTGTGATTGGAGAAATTTTTGTATTGGGAAGTTGACTGTGAATGCAAAAAGCTGTGGGACGAGGCCGTGAACGATCACTGCTGCTAGTGATGCCACGTTTTTGGGTTCATGCATGAAAATTAAGATTTGTTTTGAAAATATATAGATTAAGGTTGTTGGGAGACCGGTCAAGAAAAGAACAATACTTGCTCTTTGTAGATAGATGCCTAACATTTCGTATCTGCCTGCACCATATGCTTGTCCACATAGGGTTTCGACTGCACTTCCCATTCCTAGCTGCAAGAAGTACATGCTTCAGTTGAATCATATCGTTTAAAAATTTAAATCTCGATTCCTATACAATTCTTACGTGCAAGTCAAATTCATGTTTTCATCTATGATGTTACATGTGCAATCATGTTAAGCGACACATCCCACATCGGCTTGGAGCTCGCCATTCTTTTCGCACTATTGCAAATTTGAAATAATGGTCAAAATCGGATTAAATTGTAAACTGTTCGATCAACATATGAGGACTTGGCTACCCCTCTTAACAAGATTGATTTCTCAGTTGAAATTACAAGTCTTAATATAATATCAGAGTCTATTAAACTCAAACGAGCAATTTGATCCTCTTAAAATTGAAATGAAACACGTAAATTTCAAGATTAATTCACTCAAATGAGCTACCATCTCAGAGTGCATGTTATGAGATAAATTCCACATCGATTAATTACTGAAATATAGATCGATGTATAAGGGTTTGAATTAATCATCTTAATAACATTTACATTTTAAGATGGAATCTCGAGTCTTAATAAATCAAACGTGCACTTTACTCTATTGTGGTACTAGAAAAGAGTTTTAGGTAGGTACCAAGAGGCCATAGCCAAATAGATGAATGCCGCTGCTGCCAAGACTCCAAGCTGCAAACTCAAGATCGCCAAGGTGGCCAGAGAAGATCCTAGCAGTGTTGGACACGGAATTGTTTATCAAGTACATCATGATTGAAGGTGCAGCAAGTGGAAACAGGGTCTTTATTTCGATCCACGAAGCCATCACCATCCGCTTCAGTCGCGACAAACTGGTGTCGGATAGCACCATCTCAAGGGTGGAGCTTGCTACCGCATCCGCCACCGGTCGATTGAACTCGTCTCCAGATTGCGCCATTCTTGCTTACTCACAGCATTCAATGTGAAGAGATATTTTTTTCTCAACATTGATTCTGAGCATTGTGGGTTTATACAAAAAATATAATCTCGTTATAATTTAATGTTCGGTCACCTGGTCAAGTATTAACTTCAACCACAACTATTACCAACTTATTATCCGCACATTTTGAGACCAGTGCATTCATTGTCATTATGATTTCTCACAAACAGGGAAGTTGAGAATTGGAATTTTGTAGCTGCCCATAAATGCCAAATTAATGTTTCTCACCTCGTATTAAGTTCTAGTTGACTTCGTTCTCGTTTGAGAGAAATTATGATGAGAAAATGATTTTGCTACATATATATCAAGATTTATATAAGAGATTGCATAATGTCACGTGACACTCTATTACTTTTCAGTTTAAAACACAATCACATTTTTTCATCCAATTTTTTTCCCTTCACGTCATTTTCGATAATTGTTTATGTACCATTTTGATATACAAGTAACAAAATTCGTGAGAAAATAATGAAGATGAGTGATAGGTTCCACAAAATGTGTGAATAATAAGCGGATAATAATTTTGTATGATTGGTTAAAATTAATATACAACTTTGACTCTTGTCAAACAATATGATTATTTATATGAATAAATGATCTATTGAGCATAGTTAACCAATTGTGACAAGATATCATCTCTCTTTATGCCAGTAATGTGATTTATCCATGTTGACAAAGTTGCTTTTGGAAGAAGAAGTTTTTTTTAAGGTCCATCCGGCACGATTTTTGAAAAGTCAAAGTAAGTTTTCGGGACCCAAATATTAATTTTGAACCTATTTGTCTAATTTTATGAAAAATAATGTTGTGAGTACAGAAAATATTGCACATAATTAATACAGAATTTTGAATTTTACTCACATGGGGGGTGGGCCCCATGTAATTAAACTATTGGCAAAAACCCTACCCCACCCCCCAACCCACTGTTGTTTGCGTTTTGTCTGGTACAGGAATTTGAATTCCTGTACATATAGCACAGTTCTTTTATGAAAATGTTTCTTCTAGTTAAAATTTTTTTTAGAGGAAGTTGGTTTAACATAGTTTTTTCTAAAAGCACATACGAGACATGAACCTTTTTAAAAATTAATTTTCAAACAAAAATTAAATTTTTTTTTTTTCCAAAACTCTTTTTAAAAAGGCAAAAGTCGTGTCAAATGAGCCCTCAATGTGACTTCTTCTAAAAATATTTTCGAAATTCAAATAAATAATAAACTTACTAAGCCCCCGTTTGTTTCTCATTTTTCATCCATAATAATGAAAAATATGACCGTTATCATCATCAATTTTGAATTTTTATCTCTTGTGTAGGGTCCAACAACGGTTATATTTCTCATTCTCATTTTATAATAATGAGAATCAAACGGACGTATGAAATAAAAGGAACAGCAAAAGTAATGTCAACGTAAAATTGGTGCTCATTAGATCATTTCTGTCAAGATTTATACAAGAGATTGCATAATGTCACGTGACACTCTATTACTTTTCAGTTTAAAACACAATCACATTTTTTCATCCAATTTTTTTCCCTCCACGTCATTTTCGATAATTGTTTATGTACCATTTTGATATACAAGTAACAAAATTCGTGAGAAAATAATGAAGATGAGTGATAGGTTCCACAAAATGTGTGAATAATAAGTGGATAATAATTTTGTATAACTGGTTAAAATTAATGTATAACTTTGACTCTTGTCAAACAATATGATTATTTATATGAATAAATGATATATTAAGCATAGTTAACCAATTATGACAAGATATCATCTCTCTTTTTGCCAGTAATGTTATTTATCCATGTTGACAAAGTTGCTTTTGGAAGAAGAAGTTTTTTTTAAGGTCCATTCGGCACGATTTTTGAAAAGTCAAAGTAAGTTTTCGAGATCCAAAAATTACTTTTGAACCTGTTTGTCTAATTTTATGAAAAATAATGCTGTGAGTATAGAAAATATTGCACATAATTGATACAGAATTTTAAATTTTATTCAGTGGGGTGGGCCCCATGTAATTAAACTATAAACTATTGGCAAAAACCCCACCCCACCCACTGTTGTTTGTGTTTTGTCTAATACAAGAATTTGAATTCCTATGCCTACAGCACGGTTCTTTTATGAAAATGTTTCTTCTAGTTAAAATTTTTTTTAGAGGAAGTTGGTTCAATGTAGTTTTTTCTAAAAGCACATACAAGACATGAATCCTTTTAAAAATTAATTTTCAAACAAAAATTAAATTTTTTTTGTTTTTTTTCCAAAACTCTTTTTAAAAAGGTAAAAGTCGTGTCAAATGAGCCATCAATGTGACTTCTTCTAAAAATACTTTCGAAATTCAAATAAATATTAAACTTACTAAGCCCCCCGTTTGTTTCTCATTTTTCATCCATAATAATGAAAAATATGACCGTTATCATCATCAATTTTGAATTTCTATCTCTTGTGTAGGGTTCAATAATGATTATATTTCTCATTCTCATTTTATAATAATGAGAATCAAAGGAGACACATGAAATAAAAGGAAAAGCAAAAGTAATGTCAACGTAAAATTCAACAACAGTCAATAAAGTGCGTTTTACATTAATTAGCTTATGATTTTATGTTTCATCGTATGTCGCATCACATAAGGATCATACCCGGTGAGAATAAATTGTATTATTCTATTTAAGTTCAGTCCAGATCTTGTTTATGTAGGTGACCGACATCACAACACATGAATTTAATATTTTGTTACTTTCTTCTAAAAAGAAAAAGAAATTGACTAAGTGTAATTATTTATATTATTCTTACTCTAATCAGCTTGTACATTCTCTAGAGTAGATAATCATCAGTACAAGAGATTATTTGATTAATAATTGAATTTTTTTGTTGGCGATCCATGATCCATCACCCAAATTACAGATCTATTTCATGTTAATCAATTAATTTGGTTCGACTATTCAACTTATATTGTTATCGTAGTACAACTTTAATAGTCAATTCCACGCGACAACACTTGTTAGACACTTAATCGACGGTCATAAATTATTTGAAGTGTAATTTGTCCTTAACCCACCTCTACCGAAATTGAAATTATCCGCTTCGGTTGAGGCAATACGAAATTAACAAATTGATTGGAGTAGAATAAGTGCTTGTTTGATAAAAAAACTTCAAAAATTATATCAACTTATTTAACCATCAAACTTCAATTTTAAACCACAAAATTTACAGAATTCGCAACTTTTATCAACTTTCAACAACATATTAACATCGATTTTTATCAAAATGTATCAAAAAATTATAATGTTGAATGGAATGTTGTATAGAGCTAATAACTTCTATATGAAACTCTTACACAAGCATATGCTAATATTATTGAAAATATTGTCTGGAAGCCCAAGATTGGCTAACCAAGAGGAGGGGATGAATTGGTTCTTAAAATTTTTTCGTTAATCATTCAAAATTTTAATATAATGAATACGCGAATGATAGAGAATATTCTAAACACAAGTAAACGTGTAAATGGAACAATGTAGATTTACGTGAAGTAAATGCTTTAAGTAAAAGAGATAGAGAGTGCAAACGATATGTTATGGAGGTTCGATCCAATGCAATGATCTATGTCTCTCATTACCAAGCTCTTCGACACGAGCACGACCTTTTTCACTATCTTGATTGATTTATAGTGCAATCCAACATTTTACAACGCTTCTGGTGACTTACAACCAATGAGCACCGATCATTTTATAATGTTGATCTTTCCGGGACCTCAATTCTACCCACAATTCTAAATAAGTTTGCAAATAAAATCTTCTCTTCTTAAGAATGAGATAATGTTCAATGAATAAAGTTCAAGAGTTTGATTTGAAAACCTTTAATGAATGAGATAATATTCAATGTTGAAATCAATCAAAGGTTTTTCAAATGAAAAATGTTATTCATTCTCAGTGGGGATGCATTCCCAGTCTATGTGGATGTAAATGATTGGTTAAATGATATGTGAAATTAAATGATTTATTTAATTTCACATATCATTTAATGACACATTAACGCTACATAGACTGTGGATGCATCCTCACTGTGGATGAATAACATTTCTCTTTTCAAATATAGAATGATTTGATGATAATAAATAAGGTGAGAAATAAATGCAATTTTAGCTTACAGAAACTCTATTGAATGCCCTTGAGTTGATGGTAATAAATAAGAAATGAGCTGATATTTATAGAGTTGAAAAAGTCAAAGTTTCTATCAAACCGAATGACCGGTCCTGTCGATCGTCAATTTTTGGATGACCAAATGACCATTTGTACAGAAAAGATCAAAAGTCAGAATTGTAAAAAATAGGACCGTTTGAAGGACGTTCGGTCGACCACCAATCAAGTGGCGGTCCCATTTTTTGTTTTGGTTTTTTCGTTTTGAAATTTTGAAAAGTATGGTCTTTTAAAAACATTTTTCACTAACATTTTTAAAATGGAACATTATCCGAAAAGTTAATCTTTGAAAAATCGTTTTCTCATTTTATCAAATCATCCTTTTTAATGCACCAACTCTTCAGTAATAAAATAGTCTTGAGCTTGTATTATTTGTACCATATATCGAGTTGTTAGTACCTTTACATTTATGCTAAGAAGACAAGTATATGATCTTGATCCAAAGTTCGGCTCTTGTTTTCTTGAATGTTGCTTTGACCTCGACATTCTTCTAAAGTTCGATTTGTGATGATAGCTTGTGCTCTTATGACGGCCATTGATCGTTATTTATGCGCAATGAAAAACTATAATCACTTGAATACAACTTGTTAGTAAATAAGACTAACTTGTTTGTTATAATCAAACCATTGAGGATTCAAATTAACCATAGGTCAACACAACGGTGCTACACACAGAGAATAAGAATAAATGATAGAGAATATTCTAAATACAAGTAAACACGTAAATGGAACAATGTAGATTTGCGTGAAGTAAATGCGTTAAGTAAAAGGGATAGAGAGTGCAAACGATATATTATGGAGGTTCGATCCAATGCAATGATCTACGTCCCCGGTTACCAAGCTCTCCGACACGAGCAAGACCTTTTTCACTATCTTGATTGATTTATGGTGCAATCCAACCTTTTACAACGCTTCTAGTGACTTACAACCAATGAGCACCGATCCTTTTATAATGTTGATCTTTCCGGGACCTCAACACAACCCACAATTCTAAATAAGTTTACAATTGAAATATTCTCTTCTTAATAGATGATGATTCTAAAGTTGAGTATAAAAAAAGAGGTATCTTAATACTTTGATAGATGGTAATAAATAAAGTTCAAGAGTTTGATTTGAAAAACTTTGATGGATGAGATAATATTCAATGTAAAAATCAATCAAAGGTTTTTCAAATATAGAACGATTTGATGATAATAAATAAGGTGAGAAATAAATGCAATTTTAGCTTACAAGAAACTCTATTGAATGCCCTTGAGTTGATGGTAATAAATGATAAGTGAGTTGATATTTATAGAGATGAAAAAGTCAAAGTTTCTGTCAAATCGGATGACCGGACCGGTTGATCGTCAATTTTTGGATGACCAAATGACCATTTGTACAGAAAAAATCAGAAGTCAGAACGGAAAAAAATCGAACCATTTGAAGGACGTCCGGTCGACCACCAATCAAGTGGCGGTCCCATTTTTTGTTTAGTGTTTTTCGTTTTGAAATTTTGAAAAGTATGGTCTTTAAAAAACATTTTTCACTAACACTTTTAAAATGGAACATTATCCGAAAAGTTAATCTTTGAAAAATCATTTTCTCATTTTATCAAATCATCACTTTTTAATGCACCAACTTTTCAGTAATAAAATAGTCTTGAGCTTATATCATTTGTACCATATACCGAGGTGTTAGTATCTTTACATTTATGCTAAGAAGACAAGTATATGATCTTGTTCCAAAGTTCGGCTCTAATTTTATTGCATGATTTCTTGAATGTTGCTTCGACCTCGACATTCTTCTAGAGTTCGATTTGTGATGATAGCTTGTGCTCTTATGACGGCCATTGATCGTTATTTATGCGCGCAATGAAAAACTATAATCACTTGAATACAACTTGTTAATAAATAAGACCAACTTGTTTGTTATAATCAAAACTGTAGGTCAACATCGTCTACTTCGATTCAAATTTCATAACTACATACACGAGAATGTAAAGAGATTCTATCTCTATTTTTGAGATATTATTAAACCAACAATTTGGTATAGTAACCACTTTTAGTCATTGGAAAGAGGCTCCTTTATTTCTCCCCACTTGTCCAAATGTTTTCTTGCTTTCTCCACCTGAAATTTCGTTATTTATTTATTACTTAGAATTAATTCATTTGAATATTCTTGCAAATTTAAGAAATTTTGAAATGACAGAAAATTCACCATTTAGGGTAGAAAGTTGGATTAGTAAATTCTAAATAAAAATAACAGCCTTCTTAAGTCATATTACTCGTAGACATACCCAATAAACAATTCAAAATACCTCTTTATTCCAATCGGCTCGAAATGTCACCCAAAGCAAAATGATGGTTTGCATCAGTGTTCCTCCGATCATTCCCGACCATATTCCCTATATAAGCAAAAAGACTATTTAATACATAGCACTTATTATTGAATAATGTTATTCATCTCCAGTAGGGTTACAAACACAGTTTAAGTGACTCTAAATGATATGTGAAATTAAATGACTTATTTAATTTCACGTATCATTTAATGTCACGTTAACGTCACCAAAATCGTGTTTGTAACCCCAATGGGTATGAATAACATTACTCATTATTAAACACATTAAACACATCTGTTATTTCTAGTACCTTTATACCGAGGTGGAATTTGAATCCTAGAAGACAGCCAAGTGGAACTCCCACGATGTAGTAACACCCAATGTTTACGTAGGCAACAAATGCTTGCCATCCACAGCCAACGGCCACCCCTTCAATTTCCCCAAAGGCATATTGACAAACATTTGTAAAAAGAAACGACAATAGTGCATTAGACTAAACAATCGAATCGAGTAATTAACAAAAATTTTAATATGTTTTTCCTTTCCATTTTTAATAAATATCGATGGCCAATAAGGTTTGATAGAGTAAATGTTTGTCGAGCTATTACCTGACAAGACAGGTTGAATACCGTTGAGAATGATAGTAACTGATAAGAATGGACAGAGTTCTGATACTGCATTAGCCACTGTTTCGCCGCCCGTGAATAGGTAGCTAATTACATGACGTTGTGATAATATGATTGAGGCAACCACCACGGCAAAAATGAATGAAACAAAATTCACCATGAAAACTGAAAAAGCTGCTGACTTAGGGTTCCCTGCTCCAAGCTCATTGCTCACTCGAACGCTGTTAATCTCAAATTCATTGAAAACGTATCGAAATTTATGGAACGATAAAATTATCAAAATTTTAATTTATCTCCTAAATATCGTGCAGTAATATCTATTTTATATAACCAAACATATCTTGGAGATTATAATGTGCTAGATTAACTGACCTCGCAGCAGCATTGAACCCTATTGCAATCATGAATAATATGCTATTTATTGACAAGCTGCACGAAAGTCAAAATCAAATCAAGATATGCTACAACATTGAATGTGCTATAGTGTATGCATTCAAGTTCGTACAATAAAATTTTTCGATTATCGTGTATAATTTTAACGGACTAGATAAAAGGAAAATAATCTTACGTACCATACCGAAAGTGCATCCAAGGCAAGTTCAGGGTTCTTAACAAGTCCTGCAATCAAGACTAGTACTTGAAGGTACCACGTTTCTAAGCACAGCATCACTGCTGAACCGATTGATAATTTCGCGAACTCCCAAAGCCCATTAAAAGCCTCCCATTTGAATCCATTCCAAGTGGGCTTACATTTTGGGCTCATTAAGATATAAACAAACTGGGCCACAACAATGATCCACCAAGAGAAACTCATAACCAATGATAGCCCAATTAATCCAAGACTGAACTTGTACGCCGCAACCCAGGATAAAAGTACATGCACCCCAGCAGCGGCCAATGAAATAAAAGCACTGGGGTGTACTAAACTCTGTGCTTGAAGAAATTTTTGTATTGGAAAGTTGACGGTGTATGCAAAAAGCTGTGGGATGAGGCCGTAGACGAACACTGCTGCCAGTGATGCCACGTCTTTCGATTCATGCATGAAAACTAAGATTTGTTTGGAAAATATATAGATTAAGGTTATTGGGAGACTGAACAAGAAAAGAACCACAGTTGCTCTTTGTAGATAGATGCCTAACATTTCATATCTCCCGGCACCATATGCTTGACCACATAAGGTTTCGACCGCACTTCCCATTCCTAGCTGCATGACATACGTGTATGAGATAAATCATCTCGTCTAAAAATTTAAATTCTGATTCTAGTATAACCCGCATGTGCAAGCAGGGGAGCTAGAAAAATAGAGTTGTGGGAGCAAGTTTCATAAAATTTTAATTGTAGGGCAAAATTGAAAATTATTAGGAATTTTTTTGAAAATCTTGTGTAAAATCTTTAAAAATCTATTGCAAAATCTTTGATTTCAAATTAAAATTGTGTTTGGTAGAGATTAAAATCGGATTAAAATTAAAAAACTAACAGTTATTGTTGACTTTTATTAGACGAGTAAGACCCAATAACGGCTATATTTTCAATTTTAATTGAATTTTAATCTTTACCGAACAAGCCCTAAGTATGGGGAGCGGACCCTAATGCCCCCACTACAGATCTGCCCTTATGTGTCATTACTATTAAATGTGCACAATTTTAAGAACAATGCTACTGTTATCGAAAAAAATTCTGTAAAAATAACAGAACACACATATGGGATGGACCACATTTTTTATAATAATATTTCATTCACATGGGGCCCACCCCATGTGAGTATTCTGGCATTTTAACAGATGAAATGGTTATGTACAAGTGGTTTAATTGCAATTTTAATAAACAGGTGTAAATAGACTTGTATTTTAATCGATTGTGGTAATAGAGAGGAGTCCATAGGTACATACGAGGAGGCCAAAGGCAAATAGTTGAATGCCGTTGTTGCCAAGATTCAAAGCTGCAAACTCAAGGTTGCCAAGGTGGCCGGAAAAGATCCTGGTAGCATTGATCATGGAGTTGTTAATCAAGTACATCGTGATTGCAGGTGCAGCAAGTCGAAACAAGGTTTTTATTTCAATCCACGACGCCATCACCAGCCTCTTCAGACGCGGCAAACTGGTGTCCGATAGCACCTTCTCGAGGTCGGAGCTTGATTCATCGGCCGGTCGATTGAGTCCATCTCCAGATTGTGCCATTTTTGCTTTCAATGTGTTGAGAGAGAGAGAGAGGTTCGCCTGAAGTTTGATTCTGAGCATTCAATATGTAGTTGGGAATTGGAATTTTATACCTGCGCTGCTATCATCAAGTCAAAATTAAAGTTTGTAACGTTGTATTGAATTCAAATTGCCATGATAAGCAAGTCATTTAATGTCGCATTATATAATATTATCCAGATTATAACCTCAATCTATGCGGTATTAAGTGATTGACTAAATAAAAAGTGGAATGAATTAAATGACTCGTTTAATTTTACTTACTATTTAATGTCACGTTAACCCGAACTGAGATTATAACTTCAGTGGAGTTACATTACTGACATTTCTCAATACATTAATGTTGGTCGGCCAGGGTCACTGACCGACCAGAATCCAGGGGACTGAGGTGTCATCACCTCAGCCCCTGATTTGAAAAAAAAAAGGTCCCACATGAATTCAAATCAAGGGCCGATGTAGATGATTTGGGCTTGGATTTGGCCCTGGATGAGCAGCATTGCTCTTCTCAATATGGTTGTCTAGTCAATTAGGAGATCAACATGACGATTCAAGAATGCACCGCTAGTTAATTTTTTGCTCGGTGAAATTTCTGTCTTAATTACACATTTCTTAAATACTAAACGTTTATTATTCATACATTTTATAAGATTCAGCATTATTTCTCGTACAATATTACTAGTAACTTTAGGCGAACATATAGCTTATATAAAAGGCTTAGTTTTCATGACAAGTGTTTGAACAAGCAATTACACTTGTCTTGGCTGTAGGATGTGTTGGAAGAGTTTCATAGTGTCCACTTGCCATGCACATGCATGGGTGTTTGAAAAAAAAAAAATGGTAAAAGAGGAGGTAGAGATTTTTTACTTTTTAAAGTATATTTAGCCGACGAAGATTTTTGAGATTATAAATAGTTGGATCTTATGAACTGTGTGATTAATAGTAAGTTTGATCAACTTATGATTTTAAAAACTTTCATCAAATAGAGACTTATTAGGCTCGAGGTGAGGTCGAAATCCTCCTCTAAATTAGATTGTACTTTATTTTTACTAAGATCTTGTTTGTTTCGAATTAAAATTAGATGTTAATTTAAGTTAAAGTCAAACAATCAATATTAATCACATCTTTCATGGGTCCCACAACTTTTCAACCACATATTTCAAAAACTTCTGTGACAATCTACTAAAAAATTAATTTCATCATATATTTTTATTCCGGCTTGAATATATTGGGATCAAAATTAATAGTCAATTCCATGTTCCACGAAAATTATTTGTAGTGTAAAGAACTTGGCTTGTTAAACCCCCGTTAAAATTATAACACACTTTTTCCTTTTTAACCATACATTTTTAATAAAATAATATTACACATAAATCGAAAAAAATTCTTTTTTTTTCAACCAACAATTCTCTCAAAAAACACTATTCCAAAAATTATAATGCTAAATAATGAGGACCAAACGGGGAGCTACGTGTCATCGATGATGAGAACCACGTAGCAATAGTAGCTACGCAACCCAACAACGAAATTAGAACCAATCCAAGAAAGCCAACTAATCTAGGTTTTGGATTCGACCCAAGATTTATGAGTCAAGCAACCAACACAATCGCCGACAATATGTTGACATCTTGATCACACGCGTAATGAATCTAGCCCGGTAGTTTGAACGCCACAAGAATTCGATTCTTGATAAGTTCGAAGTTTGATCAATGAAGAACAAGGTTGAAAGCTTAAAATCTTGACAAGATTTAATCTCAATTAATAATGAAGTCTGCCCTTTACAATGAATAGAAATAAGTATTTATACTAATAGCAAAAGTTTGTAATCTAATAGAATTCTAACAAAATAAGGAAATTCGTGAAAAAAAATGAAAATTTCGCCCACTTTTTGTATCATGCGACTGCACGGTGTATTTGGTCAGGCCCCATGGAACAACCAAAAAAACTCTTCCGAGTTTCAGTATATGCCTTCTCGGCCGCAAGGCTATTATGTCTATGCGGCCGCATAGACATAAATTCCAGCCTCGCTTTTTTCTGCCTCAATCCACATGATCCATTGGACTTCCGACCTCGACCCCAACATGGAACTTGCTCCTTTCTTTGTTATGAATGCCATACCATCAGCCATAGCTTGAACAAGCAATATCATCGTCTCTTTAACTCGCTTCACTCTCGATCGAGTCATCGGTCCTTCCTCAATTATCAATGGATCCTTCCTCGGGCTTGTCCTCGTTGCAACGACACCTTGAATCACATCATCCAGTATGCTTATTTTTACTAGACTAGGTGCCTATCAACATAATCATATAGTTCTTGTTTCATTTAGCTAAAAATCAGATTTTAATAGATTTTGATAGAAGACGATAGAACGTGTGGTTAAAAATGTGTCTAATAAAATGTGTTATTAAAATTAAATGTTAATTTTAACTTAGATTCTAATATAATTTTTTAGCTGAAACAAACACGGACATACTTGTTTCAGTTGATCTGATTTACATTTCACTTGAACAAAAAAAAATCGTTGAATCCCGAATTAATTATGGCGTACCATTTTTTTAGGGATATGCATGCAATGTGGAAGACACAAAAGCCACAAAATTAATAGTCAATTCTTTAATGCCTAGTTGATTAGCTCATCGACGCGATACACATGAATTTAGTTTCCGTTGACGGATCAAACTTCAATTTTAATTGCACGTTTCAGAAATACTACCCTTTTATGAACTACGTACGATTCGATATTATTCTTCTTACACAATTACTAATAATTTTAGACGAGCATAGCATATACATAAATATGTATATAGACCTAATTATGGCGCAAAGAATTAGTCTTGATTAGTTCTCATGACAAGCGTTTGAACAAGCAGGTACACTTGTCTTGGCCATTGGATGTCTTGGAAGAGTTTCAAAGTATCCACTTGCCATGCACAAGCATGAGTTTTTGAGAAAAAAATTAGGTCATGTGTGGTTGGGTTAAAATCTTATTTTTAGTAAATTTTGATAAAAAATGATGAAAAATATATTGTTACAAAATTGTGGATGTCATAAAATATGTGGTTAAAATTCATTTTTGATTTCGACTTAAATTAAAATCTTGATTTTAATTCTTCCAAATATGGGCTAGGTATAATATGAGGTCGATATTGTTTTCATTATTTTTTAAAGTATATTTAGCCTCAGTTTGATAATGCCTTTTGAGATTATAGACTAACAAATTCTGTTAAATGTGCAGTTAAAAAGTTAATAAAAATTATGGGTTCAATAAAATATATGATTTAAAATGAAATTTGACTAACTTATAGAGCCTGTTTGGAGCTCATTTTAAGCCAGAAGAATGCATTTTATTACCGTTGTTGTACCAAAATCAGCCCCTTCTTACAGCTGGAACCAACTTAATAGATTAATGATCATTTTTTTTTTTCTATTAACGAGTTGCAAAATGAGCTCCAAACGGGGGCATAATCTCAAAACGCTTTATCAAATAAAGACTGACTTAGCTAGAGGTGACATCGAGTCCTCCTTCAAAGACTTTACTTTATTTTTTCTAAAAATTAGCCGACTGTCATTTTTCATTAAGCCCCGTTTGGTGCCCATTGTTTTAAAATAAATTTTGATACATGATCATTTTCAATTATATTCACACAATAAAATATTCTGCACATAAATTAATTTTTTTTCTATTTTTAACTACGCATTATTCTAAAAACATTATTCAAAACTCTTTTTATTTTTTTGAAATAACGGGCACCATATAGGGGCCAAATAAATATAGAGTAGAACTCATTTGAAAAAAAAATCTATTGAAATCGTGCAAGTGAACACACGCTTTTAGCATGACAGCGATTTTTATGCGAATGACGTGAGGGGACCGTTTGGATATTTCAAATGCCCTTCTCTATTTGACTATGTTTAGACTTCTCCGCCTCCACCCTACTTCTGAGTATCCACTTTGCCTTTTTCCCTATTAATTTGCTATTTAATTATTTATTCATTTGCCAATTCCCATATAACATTCAAGTTTCAACTATATTTTGCTGCATTTAAGCAAGTAAATTTGGCTTCTCTGTGCGGGGTAATTATTCTCCGTTTCTTACATCGTTATGGGTGTTTTTCTCTATGAATTTAGGTAGTTTTTATCTATATTTATGTTCTTTAAGCAATCATTATAATTTCGATTCATTTGCCCCACTTCGTTTCCCTCTGGTAGTTGATATCGAGTTTTGGAATCCATCTTAAAAAGGTAACTTGCTGAGAGAGAGGAGGAATAGTCTCGATTATTGTTTTCATATTAAGTTCTATTTTACCTTAATTTTCCTTTGCAAGCTGGTGGTTCATTTGAGTAAAACTTCGACTTCTGGGGATTGAATAACTCGTTTGAGCTTTTCGGGCTCTGATCCCAGTAGTGCTAGACCTTGTACGTTGATTGTTGTTTCAGTGTGAAATTTTACCCTTAATATTAGACACACATTATGTATCCATTTATGTGCATTGGTCTTATGCGTTTTGATTAGTTAAATAGCTTTTATGTAGGATGTGTTTAAAAGAAGAAGAAAACATTCAAGTTATTTTGATAAGTTGGGAAATAATTACTACTCTAGTTGTTTTAGTTGAAAATACACGAATTCTGTATGTCTTTCTTAATATGATTTTAGTAAATTACATTGTTAAAGTTGGTTAGAAAGAATGAGTTCGTACATTTGGATAACTGGAAGTTCAGCCAAACTGTGCATTAGACATTGTAGATGTGAACAATCGGCAATCGGTGATATCTCAAGAAATAACCTACCTTAGATATCCAAGGGCCTCTATTCCCTTGAAATTACCATAAAATTTCAGGAGTGTTATATGGTCCCTGTCTCCTCGCATTGGTTTCTACTTTAACATAGGTGATTGGGGAATATCTTGGTAGACACAAAGACAGTTATGTTCATAAGAGAAGCAATCGAACTAGTTAGAAAACGAGGGATAGACCATAACTGTCATATGAGGTTTCTGAGGTTCTAGTTGCTTTGGATCTTGCAGTAGATCTAACAATGTATGAACGGAATGGAATGTTTGAAAAGGGATTCATGTTGAAAGAACATTTAGTTTTTTGTAGTTGTATTCTTAGGAGAAAACTTATCAGTTCCATCAGAAGTTTTGTATCTGTTTTTCCCTCTCATTTCTGAATTATTTTGCTCATATTATCATTTTGATTGTTTTGATTCCAGCAGAAATTCTTTTTTTTTTTTTTCCCATTAGGTTGTTCTATTGTCTCTATGGCATCATCTTCTGCATTTTCTACATGGACTTTGAATGGCAATTCAGTTGTTCCAGAGGCAACAAAGAACTCCAGTGGATTTATTTGCCACTATAAGACCGGTTGCTTTAAAGAAACAGTTCACTGTATGTCCATGCGTGTATCTGCTGACATGCCACATCCATGGGAATTACCTGATGACAAACTAGTTGGCTCGGGTCTAGGAAGGATTTCACTCAAGAACAGAGTCCAGTGCAGTGCGCTGGAGGTTGCCATGAAACCTTCATTTTCAGTGGGAAATAAGTTTCAACTTGAAGATGTTATTGAAGCTCAGCAATTCGACAGAAATATTCTCAGTGCCATTTTTGAAGTGGCTCTTGAGATGGAAAAGATTGAGAAGAACTCAGCCAGAAGTCAAATTCTCAAGGGGTATCTGATGGCCACTCTTTTTTACGAGCCCTCAACTAGAACTAGGCTTTCATTTGAGTCTGCTATGAAACGTTTAGGTGGGGAAGTGTTGACTACAGAGAATGCACGAGAATTCTCCTCAGCGGCAAAAGGAGAGACACTGGAAGGTAGTCTTTGAGTTGGTAACTTAAAGTTTATGTGTTTAACCCTTGGTTCTAATTTCAGATTGATAACCAGATACCATAAGAACAGTTGAAGGATACTCTGATATAATCGTGATGAGACATTTTGAAAGTGGCGCTGCCAGAAAAGCAGCAGCAACAGCCAGTGTTCCCATTATTAATGCGGGAGATGGCCCTGGGCAGCATCCGACTCAGGTTGTCTAATGATTCCTTTATGCTTGTCTGCATTTTCTTATGATCAAATGGAGGTTTATGTTATTCATGCATCAATAGTTTCTATGGGTTATATGCAGTGCAAAATAAAATGTGTACTTATAAGAAACAATAGGTTGAACGAGTTGTGGGTTGATAATATGCTTTCCGCATTTTATATCTCTTCTTTGAATCTCTGTCCGTATCTCACCAGGTTTGGAAAATTTTTGGTGTTGGCATATGCATCCATCAAGTGTCAGAGCTCGTAAAGGATCGATTTTATTTGGAATAATGCTTTGTTTGTTTTTGTTGTTGACTCTTTCACACTAGTCAGAATGTGCGTTAATATAACCTCGAGTAACTTGCTAGAACAAAAGATCCATAGGCAAAAAATAAGCCGTATATAGTGTCCACCGTCCTGATTCCTGTCTGCATACTTTCTCAAACTGGGAAATCTAGCAGCAAAAGTGATATAAAAAATGGTATTTTTTTTATATAATATATTTTGTAAATGTGTTGTCCTTGTTTGGGCATCTGTGTTATATTTATTTTTTATATGTCATTTATATACTTCTCTCCTCTGCAAATTAACAGGCTCTCTTGGATGTGTATACTATTCAAAGAGAGATAGGAAAACTGGATGGTATAAAAGTTGGACTTGTTGGAGATCTTGCTTATGGAAGGACAGTCCGATCACTTGCCTATCTACTTGCACAATATGAGGACGTTAAAATCTACTTCGTGTCTCCTGAAGTGGTAAAAATGAAGGTATATATCCTATGTTTCAATATCTCCGTAGTTTGTCGGAAGTATAATGTTAATGTGAGTGAAGCAATATGAACATAATGAATTCGTTCATTAAAAAAAAAAACCAGATGCAAGTATTAAATTTCTTCGTTCTTTTTGATTGAAGAAACTTGGGGCATATTTTAGATATGAAGTACTTATATTCCATCTCTTATTCCAGAACGATATCAAAGATTATCTGACGTCAAAAGGAGTTGAATGGGAAGAAAGTTCTGATCTCATGGAGGTGGCTTCGAAATGTGACGTGGTATATCAAACCCGAATCCAGCGAGAAAGATTTGGAGAGAGAGTTGATCTATATGAAAAAGCTCGAGGCAAGTACATTATGGATCAGGATGTCTTGGGTGTAATGCAGAAACATGCAGTTGTGATGCATCCTCTGCCAAGGCTTGATGAGGTGCTCTGTGACTCACGTTTGTTATTGTCTTGCTCTTAAGCCTTCCATTTCTTCTTCGTTTATCTTGATGGCATGTTTCGTAAGGTGGATTAGATGGTGTAGGATAGTGTTAAATAAGAACATGGTTAAGATGTTTTCTATATTGCTATTCAGTACGATCTCATATTGCATACCGAACAGGAACTAATTGTTTTATGTTTGTCCCGGCATGTATCTAGATTACTGTTGACGTGGACATGGATCCAAGGGCTGCCTATTTTAGACAAGCAAAGAATGGTCTCTACATCCGGATGGCTCTTTTGAAGCTTTTACTTCTTGGTTGGTAAGAGGTAGGCGTCGTTCCAGAACTCCCAATTTTTGCTTGATCGATGAGAAATGCATGCTTTCTCCAAATTTTCGAGTGAGTTTCTTTCTTTTTTTTTTTTTTNTGCAAGTTAAATTTTGAAACTCTGTTCCTTGATTTTGCTATGAAGATTGGATGACGACAAATGTTTTTATTTTCTGATGTTCTCCATTTTTGTGACTGCTTTCTAAGATGAGCAATTTCTTTATCAGCTAAGCATGATGGGAGTTACTGAAGTTTTCAGTGGCCATGCAGCCCACTCCAAAACTTGTGTCTTCTCCGTAAGATTGTTTATCGAACTCTTTCGAATTTTTGGTGTGTCGTGAATTCTTTTGAATGATGATTGTATATTTTTCATATAGAATTTCACAAATGCTGTCTTTGAAGGCAAATAACTTGCATTTTCAAAACTTCAGTATATTATGCTTTTGTATTTCTTGACATGAGAATGTCTTTGAACTGGAAATATAGCCCCTTTTTGGCTTTCACCCTCCCCCACCAACAAATTTCTTTACAATTAAATGGAAGAAATCAGGGGTAAACTAGTGTTCTCTAATACACTCAATTTGGCAAAAACTCCAACAAGTGGCGCCGTATTATACGTGCAGGCTTCTGTTTGTATGAAATTCCCTCTTCTATCCCTGAATTCGTCCATCTTATCTGGTCCACCCACCAAAGCTCCAACAAGAACATTCAGGTTCGGACCCTGACGTCCAAACCAGTTGTCATATCCCTGAGTGCACCCTACAAAGCCTTTGCTTTCTCTATACGATTCCATGGATGCACCCCTATGGTGCACCCACAAGGGATAGGCAGGTCCATGGCCAACCAAGTAGCTCATTCCCATAGGATTAGAACCCAGAATGTAGTCAACTTGGGATTTGACAAGGGAGAGAATCTCATTTGGACCCACTAGATCTCCATGACAATTGAATATTTGATTGGTAGATTCAAGATAGTCAGAGTAGACGGTCAATAAAAATGATGCACTAGAAACGTACTGCATGTTGTTCCATTGGCGGGTGTACAGGAGTCCACCTGGGGTGCGTCGCACATTAGTCGAATTGTTTTTGTTCAGGCAAGCACATATGAAATGTTCTGCCTTTGAACGGTATTCTTGGAGGATCTTGCTTTGTTCTTCATTCTTTCCTTCTAATGGCAACTGCAAGAGAGAAGGAAACGTAGATTTTTAGCAAATAACATCTAGAAAATGTGCACAATATTGAACAATAGTGTACATTACATTTGGCGGGATCTTAAATTTTTTTTTTTTTCCCAATCAATGGCTAGTGTCGTCCGGTCCCATTATAAAGAAAAATGTCATATTGCTTTACATTGGATTCTATTAGGACAGAATTTGGTCACTTTTTGTCACTACTTTTTATGGTTAATCTCCCGCTAATTATACTTCAATCAAGAAATTGCCTTAATTTGAAAGTTTGAGGTATAGAATGAAAGTGATTTGGTACTCGTGAAGCTGGTGATGACAGAAGAGAAGGTGAGTCCAATCCCAACACCCATTTATGAGGGTGGATTGTAGAGGGGTCCCTTTTGTCCCATTGGAATAAATGTTAATTATGACATGGGATCTCGTGGTTGAATCTTTGTTGCAAAATACACTGATTCTAAAAAAATAATCACAAAATAATTCTTGAAGATAACACCAAAGTATAATAAAAAAAAAATGCCAAATTAAACTTTTCCAGGACTGCATTATGCCCATGTGCAAGTGCAAATGCAGATAAGGTTGGGGAGGGGTGTTATATCATTGCAGCCTTGATCTGAACACCAGCAAAACAGGACTCCACTATTACCAAATTTTTTCGATGTTCACTGTACTTCATTTCCACTGTTACAATATCATCATTCTTTTCATATTCACTAGTTTGAATTTTTTTGCAACAATCTAGTTGACATCCTAGTTTAAATGAAAGACTACATGCAATAGCCCACAAAAATTTGCATGCATAATGCCCAAATTTAACTTTTCCAAAGACTGCCACATACCATGTGCAATGCATAAAAGCAACAAAGGGAGTGGGGTTTGTACCATTGCAGCTATGATTTGGACACCTGCATACTTGACGTCCCAGCTGAATTCTGTGATGGCCCAAGTGATCCCACCAAAGGACTCGGCATTCTCTATAACATAATTCAAGTAATATAGGCTGTCGGTGGCTTTGTATAGCCACACAGCTGCCCATAACAACTCATCCATGTAACCACTCACCGACGTATAATAACCCTTTGCCACTCCAATACTGCTGTCGTATTTTCCTCTATACTTATCGCCAAACTCGAACAACTGCATAACAAATTCTCCTAATTCAATAACTCATTCCTCTACTCACATGGTATGTTAAAACAACATCAAATATGCCTTCAAGAGTTTAATTTGCGCGTTATTTTCAAATTAATACAGTATTATTACACACAGATGAATCAAGGGAGGACAATCTTTATTTATTTATTTATTTTACACTGAACTTATACAAAAAATGAAAAAAAAAAATTATTAATGGAGCTTGGACTTCAGTAGGCTAAAGGCCAGGACTGCTCTGTCACTATCCATCAAAAGCATATTTAGGGACAAAGTAGATAGTCTAATAACGAGATCAAGCTTAGTTTTCTTTCTTGACCCTTGTTTGGTTTAGATAAAAAGCCGATAAAAAGTTAAATCAAAGTTAATAATTAATTTTTACTATATATCTCATAAGACTTATAATTTTAATCAACTTTTCAACCTTTCATTTGATCGTTCTTATTAAAATATATTAAAACTCTATTTTTAGTCAGACCAAACACGAGCTTAATATTATCTAGTAATATATTCAAACGTCATTGACAAACATGCCACGAGAATAATAAATACAATTGTGTTAAAGATGCAATTTGAATAAACACGTTTTTGGCCTATTTATGAAAATTGTACATGGTATTCACACGATTATGCATCTTGAAAAACGTAATATAAATAAATAAATTTATTTTTTTACTAACAGTCTAAGCTTTGAAACGAAAACGTCTAAGGTGTGTTCTCTTTACCATTTTCAAACCGTTTTCTATTTTCCATTTTCTAAAACAGTGAAAACGCGTTCTCTTTCCTATTTTCGAAAACGCGTTTTTGAATACAAGTTAAAAATTTACGAAGAAAGTCCAAAACGACAAATCATTTTGAGTATTTTCAGTTATAATCAAACCAAAATTTTCAAAACACGTTTTGGATGTTTTCAAAATGACAAAAAGAACACATTTTAATAATTTCAAAATGAACACTCAAAACACAAAATTGAAATATAAAGAGAACGACCACCTTTTTTTTTTTTTTTTTGGTAATTTTATAAAACTTAAAAATCTAATGCACCAATTTAATAACACTACTTGTAATATGCTTGTGTAGTAGTAGTTTTGGTGGACAATAAGGCAGATTACGTTAAGCCCATGCTAAATTTGGTAAAGTTCTACATTGTCTCGCTCCTTAACAACCTAATTAACTTACTTGTTGTGCATGATCCAAGAGCAGTAGGGAGTAATGTGGGTTTGTTGTCCTAAACACAATGGCAGCCGCCGCCATGGCCGCCGCCGTTTCTCCGGCGACTTCGGAGCCCGGGTGCTCCTCATCCACCTTGTAAGCACGCCGGGAAGTCGTCATATCCTCCGGCCGCTGCCAACAGAGGTGGTCGGTGTCGCCATCACCCACCTGCAAAATATCATGACGTCATTCACTATTATTATGCCCTCAAATTACCACGAAAATTACGAGTAATTTCTTATTTCTTTGCATTAATGGACCCACGAAGGAATCGAGGAGAAACTGTTATGACTAAAAATTCAAAGCAATTCTCCGGCATGATTGGAGGGTATTGTTCACTCTTTATGAAATTTGTCGGCAGCCGTGCATATAATGCGCTTTTTTTTCTTCAAATTTTCAAAAAAATACACAAGTAGAGAGAGAAAATATGTAACTTTACCTGAGCCCAAAGAACATGCGGATGAGTATGTGCTTTAATGAAATAATCGGTTCCCCATTTGATAGCTTCAAGGGCATGGCGATATTCCCCTGCATCCACAAGCCGATCCCGGTACTCAACAACACTCCATGAAAGCATTGTAATGGTAAAAGCCATTGGAAGACCAAATTTAACATTATCACCAGCATCATAATAGCCACCAACCAAATCCACCTGTTTCAAGCAAAAATCAAACATGATAAACTTCACCAATTATGGTCAAAATTGCAGAAATAAATGTTTCGGCACAAAAATGTGAATAATCAGAGTAACGTCCAACCAAATCTACCTGTTTCAAGCAAAAGTCACACACAACAACGAATAAACTTCCCAAATTTTAAGCAAAATTCACAGTAAATGCAAATGTGGGATAATCATAGTCACCTCCAACCAAATCCACCAGTTTTCAAGCAAAAAACTACACACGATAAACTTCACAAACCTCATCCATCCGTTTTAAGCAAAAATCGATCGCATATACACAAATTTCAATTAAAAAAAATCACAAAAAATGTTGAAATGTGGATTGTTAAGTGATCGGACCCCTTGTTCTAAGCCGTCGGTGAGGCCGGAATGGTGGCGCCAATTGACTCTCTGGTTGTACGGCAAGCGGCCGGAACGCTGTGCTTCGAAGTAGAGGAGACTCTTGGAAAGGGCTTCGCCATAGTTTAAGGATTCGGAGAACTGAAATGCATTGAACAGTGAAATTACAGAAATCAAAAATGGAAAAGGCTTGCATTTGCATTGCCTCATTCTTTGCGTGTTGGTTTCTGCTTTCACTCTGTGGCAGAACTACTGCCTTTACCTCTATATATACACATGCGAGGCACGTGCCTATGTTTTGTGTTTACTTAGCACTACATTAGAGCAAAGAGTATGTCGGTAAAACTTCGGCTTCAAACGATAAAAGTTAATGAATCTCGTTAATATGCATAGTGAAAAAGTGAATAAAAATTAGATTTACAGTTCATTTAAGGGGTTTGGTTGAGATTAAAATTAGATTTTTAATGGATTGTGATAGAAATTTTTGAAATGTGTGGTTGAAAAGTTGTAGAACTCATAAAAGATGTGGCTAATATTGATTATTTAACTTTGACTTGAATTAAAATCAGATTTAATCCAAACCAAACATAGGCTTGATTTGAACTGCGGGATTAGAAGTGTAAAAAAAGTTGAATTATACGAAATCAAAATTACTTGAACGATTATTGGTATGGTGAGGTCGAAACTCCACACGACCCAACGAGTCTAGACAGACACAACACAACCCAACATAGAAGTAGATCGGCTAATAGGCCGCTTGCACCGAGCTACCCGTGCCAATCTTGTACAAACAATTTTTGTAGGAAATTGGTATATATGTCGAAATATTTAACCCTGGTTTGATTTTTATTATTTAAGAATCACTTTTTTATTTAGGCCTTATTTGACAAATATTCTTTCAAAACTTATTTTCAAAGACACATTTTTCAATAAAATAATATTTTTCATCACATCAGTAATTTTTCCTTACTTTTTAACTACATATTTTTCATCATATCATTATTTAAAATATGTTTTTTTCTTAATAATATCCATCAAACACTCTCAAATAATTCTTATTTTTGCATTATTTCATTCCTACATTTTAACCATAGATTAAAAAATAAAAAATGCTTTTCAAAGAATCACTTCTCAACAAATATTTTATCAAACAGGCGCTATTATACATATCCGAATTTCGCACTAACTGAAAAAGTAATCAAAACAGTAAAAAACACTATCAACAATTAAAAACAAGACCAATATATTAAAATAATAAATTATCCCAACAATCCAAAAAATTAAAATATAGATTTTAAGTCATTTTTCACATTTCAATTTAATTAACTATTCGATTTTAATTATTGTAAGCTAAGGAAGACAAAGGGACGACCAAACATTGTTGACTGAAAACGAAATAAAAATATAAGGACAAAATCAAGAACCAAACATTTCTCCTTTATAAGCCCGTGCATTAGTGTTTGCCTGTGCAATGTACGGGCTGAATTTTCATTAAGGTAATAATAGTGTAAAAAAAATTAAAATATAGATTTTAAGTAATTTTCACATTTCAATTTAATTGACTATTTGATTTTAATTATTGTAAGCTAAGGAATGACCAAACATTGTTGACTGAAAACAAAACAGAAATAAGGACAAAATCAAGAACCAAATATTTCCCATCCATCCACACATTTGTATATAGTACTTTAACGTGTAAACCTCTCAAAGCAGATCGTATCAGAAAACGTTAATTAATTTCTATTCCTTAAGCTTCTAGTGCTAGACATGTCTTAACCGACACAATTACACAATACATTCTTTCCTATATATATATATTTTTTTAAAATTAATCTATAAAAATGTGAAATAAATGCTAGGCATGTTGTTTAGCATACTGGAATGTGATGGGAATGATTCTATTTATTTATATTTATTTAAAAGTCTCCCTCTTTTAAAACCCTGTTTGGACCACATTATTTTTTTCATTTTCATTCTTCTACTCATTTTCAACCACATATTTTTCAATAAAATAATATTTTCCATCACATCAATAATTTACTCCTTCTTTTTCAACCACATATTCTCCATCACATCACTTCAAAAAAATGCATTATCTCCTTTTAATGTGTACCAAACGGCTCTTAAGTCTGTAGGTTTTAGGTAGGTGTACCAAGGGCTTGATATTATTGCTTTTGATGCCTAACCCCCCAACAGCCCTCCACCCCCAATGAAGCCACCAAACCAAACCCAGATTTATACCAGCCATACTCCCTATATTTTAAAAACAAAGACACTAGACTAGCAAGTTGAATTCTTGCCTGTAAAACTTGATTGGCATTCCAGCTTATTCTGGATCTTTATAGGATATGGCAATGTGCCCCAGGTGGTCGTTTTGTCCAGATAGAAGAACTTTTAGAGGAGCATCCTCATAAAACTCTTCTACAAGAAGTAGACGCAGATGAATTTCAATATATCCATCTCAAATAGCCACTCGAGAAATGATTTGCAAAACCAGTGCCAAAACAAGAGACTAACAAGTAAAACGAAAAGGAAATGAAATCCAAAGCCTCTGAAACTGAACGGGTAACTTCCAGTTGAAACTATGCAATACTGACGCAAAATTTGACAACAGTCAACAAGCATGTGGAGTTTAAAAGAGGATCAAAACACACCAAAAGACTAGCAATTGAAATATCTCAACTGCCGCTGTTAAATAAGTTTGCAGCACAAGTTTATATTACATTTCCAGAAGGCAATTTTGGACTCGTCCTCCTTTACTATGCGGTCGAACCTCCAGTCTGGTGAAGCATGGCATCTATCTCGTCACCTTCCTCCATTTCAAGCTGTAAACAAAAAACGCAATTTTAAAAATACAATTTGCAAAAATGTAGATGTGTGCCTGGAGAGAGAGAGAGAGAACAAAGTAAAAGTGACCTCATCGAGAGTCTACTGAAATGCAACTGAAATCTTATGTATTTTGGTGTGTGAATAGATTGTGAAGACATGAAAAGATGTGTGTGTGTGTGTGTGTGAGAGAGAGAGAGAGAGAGAGAGGAGGAGGAAAATTGACCTCGTCCGGAGTCTGCTCTGCTCGGAGGCGACGACCATCAAACAGGAAAGCAATTGAGTTAAATTCCACAGATTGTCTATCACAATAAGCATTCATGAGCTTTTTCAGCTGTGTGTTTCTCTTAATTCTGAAAACTACTTCACTTCCATCCTGCATAAAGTAACTAGATTAGGCACTTCTACGACAAATATCCATGCATCCAAATAGCAGAATGTAGAGAAATGCCACTTTCTTCATCAACAAACTTTAAAACCTTAAATTTACATTTCCTTGACAATACATTTATCTGAACTTCTTGACATGGTCGTTAACATATCTTACCGATGTTTAATGGCTCAAAACATACTATTCAAAGACGCTTATGGAAGAATATGCTAACATCAATAAAAAAAATCACAAAAAAACCAAGAGGACAAGTCATTTTTTCATTTACTTAACTACGAGAATAAGAGTGTTGTAACGTCACTAGCAGCAAAACTAAATGAACGCAGTAGACAGAAGTACTTGTAGAGTTATAAATCTGGCACACAACCAGACATACATATACAAGGTGATTGAAGATTGTGGCAGGAAATAAAGGAAAAGGAACAGCCTTATATATCACTTGAAAGAGAAAGCAACCAACCAAAAAAATAAATGAGCAAGAATATTCAGTCGACCAATGACTAAACATGGCTTCATTCTTGTAACAATTGGTGAAATGGTCCCATATATATATATTTTTTTAACCGTGGATGTTCGGGTCAGCTTGCACGCACCTCAACTAATTCTACGGGCCTTGAAGTTTACGGCCGGGTACTCACCTTAATGGCCCTGAGGGTCCGAACTGGTAACTATTGAGGAGCAAACCCAAAGTCTCACCAATTGAGCAACCCCTCAAGGTTGTGAAATGGTCCCATATAAAACTCAAAATATATGCATACATTTATTTGCTTTCATTTTTCTTCTAAATCCTCTCCAACAAAATAACCAGTATAACATCGTTGAAAGGGGTGAAGTGGACCTGTAGTTCAAGTAACTCAACCAAAAACTAAGAGCATCTTTACTATCAAGAGAATTCTGTTTGCTAAACAAATTTCTTCTTCTTCTCAAAATAGGGGGGAACAGAGGAAGACTTCGCTTAGCCATTGACCATTGATCCAACAATGGAACGGCTAAATGGTGCAATAACGGAAGGGTTAAACTGTGCAGAAAATTGGCTAATCAGGAAGTTCTTGAGAAAGACAAGTTTTTTGGGATTGTTCGGATGAGAAGAATTTCGAGAACTTTTCATTATTTTTAAACTTCCTTCTCAAGAAACTTCATCTTGACTAGTGCTAACAATAGGTCAATCTATAAAAAGTAGACTTCCTGTATGAAACGTGCTACATAAACCCTTCATCAGTAGATAAATTTCATGTCTTGAAAAGAACACAGGGCTGAATTTTGCAGAGCCTATAACAACAACAATACAGTTTTCACTTTAAACAATCTTATAATTATAGGAACAGCAAACTAAGCTGTAAAACCTACCCAGTGAGACTCTAATAATCAAAATATCTACAATTAAAACAACATAACCAACCTTGAAAACTGATTTAAAAAATACATTGATCTAAAACCCTAAAAAGAACTGCATGCTATCCAATTAAATCAAAAACATCCGAGGGCTTATAAGCTAGAAAATAAAAAAACAAAGCATTTAGAATCTTAAATGGAAAACGGCAAATGTATCAACAATAACACAGTACTTATTCTGAACATTCACATAATTACATGCGCAGCATAACTAGTGTGTAGACCTTCCCACGAGGAGCCCCAACAAACAACAAAACCTTAAAATGGATCGAAAGAATTACAATGTTCTAAAACCCTAGATACAAACTCCACACTAATCGAGAAAATTTAAACATTATACGGCACAAAAACATATCTAGAAAAACAAATCCAAAGCATTTAGATGGAAAAAAAAAGGCGGAGGAAATAAGAAACATAAAAAATATTGAAACCTGGCCTTTGACTTTAAGATTGATATGAATCGACTGATCTCCGGGCTTCTTGTCTTCGTCTTGAGTGACACCTGACATTGTCTATTGGCCGCCGATTAATTGCCTCCGCCGGTCGCCTCTGCTTTGAAGGGTTGAATTTTGGAGTACTACTGCCGCTGTAGTGAGGTTTTGTGCCCTTGTGTCCACTTTTTAAGGATATAAAAAAGAAGGGAATCAATCAGGACTCTGGAGGTTACAGATATACGGCTGTGGTGGGTTTAGGCCTAATCCGACGGACAGTTTTGAGTGGTTGAATCTTTTCAGTCTTTATTATAATACGGCGCCGTGTTATGGGAAAAATGATGCGTAATATGTAAGCAATTAATGGGGTGGATATGGATAATCATAATTGAGTGATTGGATTTGTGGAAGTTTAAAAAATAGTTCCTGTATTTTGGGAATATTTACGGATAAGTCCACCAAGATCTACAAAATAGTCAAAAGCCGATATCACTTCTTCTAGGGTGTGTTTGAGCCACATTATTTTGGAAAGATGTATTTTGAAATAGTAGATTGATAGAGAATGTGTGGTTGAAAAAGAAGGAAAAATTATTGATGTGATGGAAATTATTATTTTATTGAAAAATGTGTGATTGAAAATGAGTAGAAGAATGAAAATGAAAATTTTAAGAGGAAATTACACCTACACCTACTTTTAGATTTCCAATTTCACAAATAAGGTTACAAGTTTAACATTTCAAAAATCAGGTTTTATTTAAAAATTTAAAAACTTTTTTTTTATATAACTAATCTAATCAAACCCTAATAGGAACAAACCGATCGTCACTCCAACTCTCCCCCATTTCTACCATCTCGCCGTCTCCAGTATCTCCACCCATCGCCGCCTCCACTCCCCTCTATCGTCTGCACCGTTCTTTTCTCTCTTACATCCGGCGAAGCAGAAGAGAATGGGTCGGATCTATTGTTCTCCACCCATCCGGTAAAAGACAATCTGGCCAGGACGTCCGGTTGAGAGACTGCAACGCCTCCCTTCGCCGCCACTGCAACTCCTCCACTGAAAGACAATGCTGCAAACGGCATCGATTCACCAGTATCTTCCCGTCGCCGGAGAAATAAGTGCTGCTGCTGCGTGAGTCGTGCAGTGATTGAGTTTTTTCTTGTGTTACGATCAGGAGATCTGCACCACCGTGATCCGGTAGGGGATGGTGGTGGGCTATGTTTTTAGTTGTGGTTGGGGACTGTAGGGTGGTGGTGGTGATGGATCAGGCGCGACGGCGCAATGAAGAAGGTGGTGGTGGGACGGTTTGGTGTAGTGATGGTGGTGGTGAAAACGTCGGCATTGGAAAGGGGATTTCGTTGTTGGGATGTGGTGGTGTTGGTGTTGACGATGGTGGTGGTGTGTTGGTGGTGGTCACAAATTGTGACCAATAATAATAAATTGTGACTAAGAAATACTCTGTGGCTTAAAAAATTATTTATTGTGACCAAATAAGTATTGTGACTCATAAATTTTGGGATCCATGACCGATAAACAAATTGTGACTTTCAAATTTCTAATTTGTGTTCAATAAACAAATTGTGACCTAAAAAATTTTGAATTATAACCAAATTGTATATATCTGTGACCTTGACATGTTAATAATAAATTAATTTAATAATTATTATTTCATAATTAAAAATTTAAAGAAACCTAATTTTTGAAATTTAAACACATGTTTTGGTATTTTTGAAATTGGTAAAAGTAAACACCTTATTTATGCATTCTTCCCAAATTTTAATGTGGATCAAACAGGGGCCTAGTTAAGGAAGATTTATTTTGAGGTTATTGAGTGATGAATGCAAGCACGAAAAGATATTTGTTCTTTTCGATCTTCATGTTTGATTTGATAGGATGTTAGCCTCTCGAGACATTCCTTCTAATTTTACTATGAAACCTTTTATAATTTTGATTAAATCGTGGTCGTTATAGTGTCATGTGTTATACTTTGATCAATATGAACTAAGAGTATGCTTGAGTGATTAGACCCGCATTGAGAGAAGGCAAGATATCGAGTAGTCCATCATCGAATTCTTAGCTAACATTTTGTGATGAGCTCAAAACATTTGCTAGGGTCTATTTATGGCTTAGAAGCCTAAAAAATGGTGGTTAGCGTATGCTTAGCGAGTTCTACACTATCTCGTCATACGTTCATAAATAGACCCGATGAAGAGCTCTGTCTATATCTAAAGACATCATTCGATGGGCCGACTCAATACATTATTTGAACTTCTTTACGAATTTAAGCGAGCCCATAACAGGTTTAGGCGTGAAAGCGTTTTCTTATTTTTAATATTATTTTAAAATTTTAATCATTTTAAAAATTATTTAATAATTAAAATAATACATATCAAACATCTAAAATTAGAAAATACTATAAGCTTGTTTGTTTCCACTAATAATAAGAATTTCTACCGTTACGAATTTAAGCGAGCCCATAACAGGTTTAGGCGTGAAAGCGTTTTCTTATTTTTAATATTATTTTAAAATTTTAATCATTTTAAAAATTATTTAATAATTAAAATAATACATATCAAACATCTAAAATTAGAAAATACTATAAGCCTGTTTGTTTCCACTAATAATAAGAATTTCTACCGTGGGAACAGTAGACTAGTCGCAATAGCTGACCAAATTGTATCTTTGTGGGCTCCACTATTTTGAAATAAACGGTCAAAAAACTCATTTTATTGTTGAAATAATTGGAAACAATCCGGGGCTATAATTACTTAATGGGTTAATTTCACAAATGGTCACTCAAGTTACACCAAAATGTCAAAACGGTCACTGAAGTTACAAAATTGCACTAACGGTCACTCAAGTATCACCCAGTTTCAAGAATGGTCACTGAAGGACCAAATGA